CACGGCACCAACCTCCCACTGCCCATCCAGCATCCCTGGCGTATCAACGACGCCCCTTTCCTTCAGCTTCCACCCGGCCTCCTGCGCCAGGGCCACCATCTCGTCCGGGTCCAGCGCGCCGCGGACATTGGCCTGGCTCAGAGTGAGCCCCTTATCCCCGCGGAGCTCGTGGAACCGCCTCTGGACCGCGACGGCCATCTCGTGCGGCTTCTGAGAGGGGGTACTGGCTTTAAGGGAGTACTCGGCGAAGCAGAGCCTCCCAACCCGGCGCGACGAGTGCAGCGCCGTGAAGAGGGCGGAGACGGCGGCGGCAGAAGGGAAGTACCACAGCGAGTGGCACAGGGTCGCGGAGTCGAAGGACGCGGAGGGGTGGGCGGCGAGGTAGCCCGGCGCGTCGGATTGATGGAAGGTGACGCGCGCGCCGTAGGGGGAGGAGAGGATGTGGGCCTGGGACTCGGCGAGGGTGTACGGGGAGCCGTAGCCACCAGGGGCGGGGTCTAGGGCTGTTACGTGGCCGGGGCTGGTGCCGGGTGGGCCGTCGGATGGCGCCGCCCCGGCGCTGGCGGTGTCGCTTGCATCCGGAGGGAGCGGGCCCACAACGTGGGCGAGGACGAGCGTCGAGTCGCCCTGGCCGCAGCCGATGTCGAGGACTTTTGTCGAGGGTGCGATGGACCAGAGGGTCGCGAGGCGTAGGCGGTGGGTTAGTTGCGGGATGATGATTCTGTGGAGATGGGCCGGGTCATGAAGGTAAGCCTTTGCGAGGGAAAGAAGGACCGGAGAGGGGGGTGACGATGGTTGGGACATTGTTACAGAGTGAAATGGTGGGAGAAAGATATGCTAGGTTAAGATCAAGTGATAGCGGTGTGTAGTGTTTTCTTCGGGTGACGCCGACAGTGTTGAATTGCTGACGGTGTGGATGTGTCTATGAAGTCGCCGATGCTGATGGAGATTCGCATTGGTGGTGAGCGGAAACCCGCGGATTATATATGGATGATTATCCTCCATGCCTCTACGCCTCTATTCGTATCCCGTGCGACTCTTCCGACTCCGATACGAAAGTCCGCGACCGCTGCGTTAACAATGCAACATGACTCACTTATGCTGCTTGAAGCCAAGAATCCTGCCGTTGGACCTCTTTCTGGCGACGGACATTGGAAATGTAACCTGGGTTTTGGAGGAGGGGGTACAGGTCTCGATAACCGCAAGCGACGAGATAAACCAAACAGAATGGATTGGCCAATGAGCGGCAGCCAGTGTCTGTCCAAAGGATCCGTGGTGCTGTGCGAGGTAAGCCGGCCTAACCCAAATAAGTGAAAGGAGTCATTCTGGAGGGTCGTTGAAGATTTGGCCTCACTTGCGACTCTTGGCCACAGCCAGATTGGCCATTGCGCGTTCTGACAACGCAAAGGCCGTCGGTAATCAATTGAGCGCGGCCCCCAGAGAATGGAACGATGAGAGTTTGGACAAGATTATCATTTCTGTTAAAAATCTATTCAACGACAGACATACTCTATCCTAACCGGCCCAAACGGGAGGGGTTCCATTCGACGGAAAACAAGACGCAAGTGAACTCTTTACACGGTATCGCTCTCTCAACACTCGTTACATACTTCACGCCAACCCGGCTGCAAAAATTACAACTTGGCGGTGACGGTCCTGCTCTTCTTGAGAAGCTCGTCGCCCACCTTGGCCATCTCAAACTTGCGCACCTTGCCGCTGCCCGTCAAGGGAACGTCGCCGGGGACGCCGCCCTCGCCGAGCCAGAAGATGTGAGCGGGGCTCTTGTGCCCGCCGAGGCGCTGCCGCACCCAGTCCCTGAGCTCCTGGAACGTCGGCTTCTCCGAGTTCTCGGCGCGTTGCACGAAGGCGCCGACCACCTCGCCGTAGTGCTCGTCCTTGAGACCCACGACAATGGCTTGCGAGATGGACGGGTGGGCCATGAGGCGCTCCTCGATCTCCAAGGGATAGATGTTTTCACCTCCTGTAATACACGTGTCAGTGAGGAGAAGAAGTTGGTGGGCGATGGGTGTCGCGGCCTACCTCGGATGATGATGTCCTTGAAACGTCCCGTGATGGAACAGTATCCGTCCTTGTCAAAGACTGCCTCGTCACCAGTGTGAAGCCACAAGACACCGGCCGCGTCGCGGACCATGACCTCGTTGGTCTTCTCCGAGTTGTTCCAGTAGCCGGCCTGCAATTGGTAGCCGGCCATGCACAGCTCGCCGCGCTGGCCCATGGGAACGATGTTGCCGTCTCTGTCAACAATCTTGGCCGAGGCGTGGGGCATGAGCGTACCGACAGTCGTCAACCTTTTGCCCAGGGCATCGTCCGTGAAGGCGTTGAAGCACGTGGGAGAAGCCTCGGTAAGACCGTAACTACTGGTAAACTCCTTCATGCCTAGACGGTTGACCATCAACTCCATCAGGTACCGGGGCACGGGAGCTCCGGCGACGATGCCGGTGCGGATCTTGGAAGACTTGAAGTCATCGGGCGCCGCCTGGAACAGGGAGTCGAACATGGCAGGTACGCCATGAAGTGCTGTGCAGTCCTCCTCAAGGATGGCCTTCAGCGTCGCCTTTGTGTCAAAAACCTCTGCTGGGTACACGGTCTTGGCACCGTGTGTGATGACTGCCATGAGACCCAGGACAAGACCGAAGCAGTGGAAAAGGGGAGGCGGGCAGCAGAGAACATCCTCGGGGCTCAGACGCATGCGGTCACCTATGAACCGTGCGTTGTTGACGATGTTGCTGGAATTGAGGTCAGCCACATCGGCTTCGCGAATGACACTGAGCAAGCTTACTGGTGAGTGAGCATGGCAGCTTTGGGGCGGCCAGTAGTACCGCTGGTGAATTGGAGGTTGCAGACTTGGTGCGGAACAACCTTGCTCATGGCAAGGTGAAGTTCCCGCGGGCTCTGCCGTGAGCTCGACTTGACGAGTTCGTCGTATGTCTGGTATCCGCTCGTATCGCCCCGGATCATGACGACCTTGGGTCCGTTGACTTCGTTCTCCAACTGAGCGAGAAACTTTGTGTTGTCGAGCCTTCCGATCTGTTTGGTGGTGAACAGAATCTTGCACTCTACCAATTCCATTAGCCTGGGCCCCGTCCACGGTCGCAACGAAGACCTACCTGAGAACTGGACAGCATACATGGCCTCGCTAGGCGTGTAGGTGTTGTTCAGGATGACCAGGATGGCGCCTATTCTCGACACGGCAAAAAAGATGGAGGCATACTGCTCGCAGTTGCCCGCCATGACGCCCACTCTGTCGCCAGCCTTGATGCCCATCCTGAGTAGTGCTTGTGCGAGCAGTAAGCTCTGCTGGTTGAGCTCGTTGTAAGTCCATCGTGCACCGGTCCAGGGAATCACCAAGCATTCCCTGGTGCCGTGCTGGTATGTCTGGAGCTCCAGGAGCTCGCCCAAGCTGAGGTCGAGCAGAGGGGGGTCGCGGGGGCCGTGTAGGATGGATAGCCTTTGCGTCGGGACGAAGGGCTCGGAGGCCGGTACTGATGATGACGGTTCCACGGACATTGTGTCGACAGATGACTACTGATAACGAGTGCTTGCTTGCTTGATTGTAATTCTCAAGCGAATCCTGTATCGTTGTCGTCGCCGTTAGGATTGTCTATGGCAAGTGGGAGCAGCGTGTCTGCGTGAACCTGATACAGCGTTGCCATTGCCTTGGGTTGCATAGCAGAAATAACTGGCCTGGATCCATATGGGAGGACCCCCCCCTCCCCACGCGAAGGGCCCTGCATCGCATCACCGAGGAACGGCGTTTGGCCATCGTCTGGATCCAGCGAGAAGCGAGCGACGTTACCTTGTCCCCGCTCCGCTGGGCTGGACAAGCTAAGACTGCAGGACTCTACTTAGTTGACGCTTGTAGTGAGTAGTGACTTGACTGACGAGCTGCGCGCACTGTCGTTACGAGGTAGTAGTATCGAGTAGACGGGCGCCCAAGACGCAACAGAAGACTGAATCGGCGAGGAGTACAGTATACCTACTACCTGACTACCTACACAGGTAGGTAGGTAGTGTATATGGCAAGGGCGGCGGAACTTGTTCAACAATGTGATTGCCCTGGATGTGGTTGAAGTTCCGAGGTGTTCCCTGTATTACTCGACCTTCGCTGTAGGTATGTACCTAGGTACGTACATACCTACAGGGGGATGGGCCACTCAAAAAAAAAAAAAAAAGCACGGTCCCACACCGAGACCAAGAAAAAAACGCTTAATCCCTGCCACTCTGCCGGACAGGCACGGGACTTTGATCTAATCAATCAAATCTTTGGATCAGATAAGATTACGGTAAGCATTCTCACTTCTCCAGCGTGCAGAATTTTTTCTTGGCTGACCTTCCAAATTGCCTCCGACACCCGCATTGTTCCTCCAACCATCCGCCTCGTCTATGATCCACTCATCGTCCTGGTAACACACGAGGCAGGGTATGATTGCGCGTCCTGTATCCGTATAACCCCTCCGAAATCGCTTCTTTCCGCCGGTCCTTCCCTAAACCCTCGTCCATCCAAGGACGTCAGGTTACATTACCCGCCTTCGCCCACCTTGCGATGGAACTGATCATTCGTACCGGTACTTCACTCCGATCTTCATTCACGCCATGATGCCATTTGTTATGTTGATGTACACACTCCCTCCCCTCCCCCTACCCACCCATTCATTCTCTCCTCTCTCACCCCCTCGCGTCCCGCGGCTAAGAGGCCTTGATCTTTATGCAAGCAAGGAAGTGGCTGCAGTGCTGTCTAGTACGTATCGTCCGCGTAGTGTCCACGGCACTGCAGAGCCGAGAATGACCAGGCAGGTGCCGCGGATGAACCCATGCACAGAAGAACTTTGCTGACTTCAGGCTGGCTTGTAGGTCTGCCTTATATTGGTTGCTTCCAGAACCCCAATGATCCACAGTCTACGGATGGGCCTGGCCGCATTCCCGGTGTGGTTTCTTTGGATGCTAAACTAATGTCGCAGCCTACTCAGCTATGCGCTCGCTCACTTGAAAGGCGGATCTCCTTGAGCACGCCATTCCTCAAAACCCAGTCCCGCGAGAATAGATAGCATCTTCACCATCAGAGAGACTTCAACGTCCCTTTCAGCGCAAAGTAGCCCTGCGCGATGCACAATCTTCTCACTGAGCATCTCGAAACCCGACTGTTTGTAAAGACCGAAACCCTCCTCAGACGACTCCAGATAAACGGGAGGTTCCGCCAACTCGGTCATATCGAGTCCCTGTTTTGTCAATAGCGTGCCGGTAACTTGTCTCTGGCATTCTGGTTTCATTGCAAGGACACGGCAGTCTGTTCCGGGGAAGAAGAAAAACATGTGTCATCAACAACTGGGGCACACGAGAACCATGCCGGGTCGGGGGAATCAGGACTGAGCTGTCCAGGGGAGGTCCACTCAGAAACGTGTTTTCGGCCGCCCCGTATCCTCTCTTTGGCTTCATTGAGAGGGTTGATCAACTCATCGGCCCTGGCTCTCTCCTCGTCCTGAAGCCACACGGCGCCCGGGCTCCGGCGGTTTGAGGAAATGCCGCAACAGGAACGAAGAAGGAGCCTACACAAGTAGTTCGGAGGCGAGGCAGTGCCGCCCAATCACTCCACTCTCTCGACCCTCCCCCCTTCCCCCCACATTCGATCCGAAGCCATCAGTCACGAAGTGACGAAGCCACGATAATGCCGGCCACACCCCGGCCGACACAACAGTGCCCTGCTGCGCGCTAGAGTTTATCAGATCAGCGATTCTCGCTCGGTGGCTTTTCTATTTACCCGTATAGAACCCCTTAGATGAGACTGAGGCAGACATTTCTGTTGCAAGACCGCTGATGTCCGGTGTCTGCCCCGGCCTCCTCTCCGGCCCACAAGCGGACAACCTCCGTTGGCGCCTTTGATCAAATCCGTTCTCTGCAACCCCGGTCAGGTACCGCTCTGTACCCTCCGTTCTTCTCTTTCTAGTGTGCACTACGGATACACTAGTGCACATACATACATCGTACATAGTACAACTACATTAGTGTAGTGTGCAGTATAGCATCTGGCCCACGACATCATCACACGCCCCCCCTTCTATTACCTCTCCCCTCCCTCGCCCACAATAACGTATGATATGATGGCGCCTTAGTTCGAAGGACCCGTCGTATATTTCTTGCCCTATTGGTTCTCACATCGTGACGTGCGCAACTCACTTGCGTCCGACGTCCCCTTCGCTAGATTGGCGTCCGTCCATTGTTGGATTGTGGTAACGAGATCCATTCGTCCGTCCGCGCCAACGGCGAATATACTCGAGTAATGGTAGGGTTTTGCTATACCCACCCGAACAGCTTCATGGATTAGGGGGCGTTGCCCCGTTGTGGCTCACATCTGCCCTCCGTCATAGCCAAAAAAAGCGCGCCCATCACAAGCCTACTCCGGTTGTCCTCCGCAGGAACCAGCTCGGTTTGCGAGGATACCAGCTCGGCCGCGGCACCAGCCATGGGTTCGTCGATCTAGCAGATTCAGGAAGGTTGTCCTGGCCGTCATGCAAGGATACTGCCCGACGAGCTGCAGAGATGCGCCTAAGAGCCTCTGGTGGTTCACAAGCCAGACTCCGTCTTGCTATGCGAAAGGGTAGCACTCCACCCTGTCACTTGATCAAGTCATCGGGCCAAAAATCCAACATTCTTCATATCTCACGACCGTCGCAGAGGAAGTAATAATCTTGTCAGCCTGTGAAATGCCACAAGTCCAATCTTGAAATCCATAACAATCGTCACCCCTCCCTCGCCACAACTCCTTGACCCAAAAGCAACCAAGGTGAACGATGCATTTGCGAGACGTCGACGGCGGCGGAACCGCCTACCAAGAGAACGGCCGTGCTGACGGCTCAGACTGCTTGGCCAACGGTGCCGTCAACCCTTCCTCAACGAGAACCATTGTCGTGACGCCCCGGACCGAGGCCGGTGGTGTTAGCGACTTTAGAGACGAACTACTCCTTGCATGGCTGCTCGTCCTGTACCGCAACAACGATGACGGCCTCGGCCACGTAAATTGGGGATATAGAACGCGGGAGGGTCAGCAACCGTCGTCCGCGACTCACAAAAGCTTGAGCCTGAGCGAGGCGCCGTTCAAGAATAGCGAATCGATATCCGAGGCTTTGGAGGTCATCAAGGGCCTTGGTGAGAGGAAGCTGGACAGTGACACGCAAATAATACCGGTGATATACTTCAACAATGGAGCACCTGCCTCTCAAGACCGCCTTGGAAAGACGCCCTCCAAGAGGTCGCACGACGTACGTGGGCCCGCTCGTGACTCTGATCCGCTTTCACACCCCCGGCTTCATTTTCATGATGGCTGACCTTGGATTCAGTGGACATATCAGGCCGAGGCGACAATAAACGGAAAGCAGATGGTGGTGAATGCCCAATGGGACCGTGCCGCTATTTCATATCGCCATGCCATCTCCCAGCTCGAGTCCTTCGTGGAGATTCTCACCACAATTCTCGAAACCCCATACCGCCAAATCGGAGACACGATCGGTCCCACCGCCAAAGACCTCGAGCAGCTGTGGACGTGGAACGCCGAGCTCCCGGAGAACGTGCAGAGAACTATGCAAGACATCATCGCCGAGGTAGCCAGCAACGGCCCCGACCGGTCGGCTGTCGAGTCCTGGGATGGGAACTTCACCTACGGCGATGTGGAGCGTCTCTCGACCCGTCTCGCGCGCCATCTTGTGCACCGTGGCGTCAAGGTCGGCTCGACGGTGCCCATGTGCTTCGAGAAGTCGCGGTGGACAACTGTGGCTCTCTTGGCCGTCATGAAGGCCGGCGCCGCCTTCGCGCTCACCGACCCCAGCCAACCCGAGGCCCGTCTGCGCACCATCGTCGAACAGACTGGTGCTACTATCATCGTAACCTCCCAGAAGCAGAGCGAGCTCGGTAGGCGCATTGCTCCTGACGGAGTGCTCATCATCGCCTCTGACGACACACTCACCCAAGATACCCTCGAACTCGCACCTGAGCTGCCCTACATCCCACCATCATCTCCCCTGTACATCCAGTTCACATCCGGGAGCACAGGAAAGCCCAAGGGTGTGATGATATCCCACGAAAACTTTACCAGCGGTGCCATTCCACGTGGCTGGGCCGTCGGCTACCGCGCGCACTCCCGCTGCTTCGATTTCGCGTCGTATGCCTTCGACGTTGCCATTGACTGCATGCTCTGCACCCTCGCCGCGGGTGGCTGCCTCTGTATTCCCTCGGACGAGGACCGTATGAATGATCTGAGTGGTGCCATCCGCAACTCCAAGTGCAACATGGCGCACATGACCCCCTCAGTCGCCCGTGTCCTAGACCCGGACGTCATCCCTTCTCTCGAAGTCCTCGGCCTCGGCGGCGAGGCCGTCTCCGCGGGCGACGCCTCGACATGGAGCAAGACGACGAGCGTGATCATTGCCTACGGACCATCAGAGTGCACCGTCGGTTGCACCATCAACAGCAACGTCAGCAGCAGCTCGACCAACATCGGCAAGGGTTGCGGCGGTCTCACCTGGATCGTCGATCCGGATGACCATGAGCGTCTGATGCCCGTGGGCGCCGTTGGCGAGCTTCTCATTGAGGGACCCGTCGTCGGTCTGGGATACCTGAACGACAAGGCCAAGACCGACGAGGTCTTCATCGAGGACCCCGCCTGGCTCCTTGCAGGCGGCGGCCCTGCCCGCGGCAGACACGGTCGTCTCTACAAGACTGGCGACCTGGTCCGCTACGATCCGGACGGCACGGGGTCCATCGCCTTCGTCGGTCGCAAGGACCAGCAGGTTAAGCTCCGAGGCCAGAGAATCGAGCTAGCCGAGGTCGAGCACCACCTCAGGGACAAGATGCCCACCGGCGTCAAGATTGTGGCTGAAGTCATCAAGCCTGGCGGTAGCGAGCCCACTCTCGTCGCCTTTGTCGTCGAGCAGAAGCCTGTCGACAGCCCCGAGTCGGAAGGCGGCGTCACCATCTTCTCGCCCGAGTTCAGTCAGGCCATCGCCGAGATCGACATTACGCTGGGTGCCGAGATCCCCCGCTATATGGTCCCCTCGGCCTACATCCCCCTGCGCAAGATGCCTTCCTTGGTCTCCGGCAAAATTGACCGCAAGCGTCTGCGCGAGCTCGGAGGCTCCATGTCCCGTGAGCAGGTCGCCCGCCTACGCGTGGCTCCTGCCGAGAAGAACGAGCCGGAGACGGAGATGGAGAAGGCGTTGCAGCAGGTCTGGGCCAAGATTCTTGGCGGCGAGGCCAGCATCGGTCTTTACGACAGCTTCTTCGCCCTCGGCGGCGACTCCCTTCGCGCGATGAAGCTCGTCGCGGCGGCCAGAGAGGAAGGCGTCGCCCTCACCGTAGCAAGCATCTTCAGCTCCCCCACGCTCAAGGGGATGGCCCAAAATGCGACCAAGGTGTCCAAAGATGCCGAGGCCCCTGTCGCCCCCTTTTCCCTTCTCGAAGAGGGATGGAATCCCGAGGAGGCCCGCGCGGAATCTGCGAAGCTTTGCGGCATCGACGAGTCTGCGATCGAGGATATCTACCCCTGCACGCCCCTTCAGGAGGGTCTGATGGCCCTTTCTGCCAAGGTCAAGGAGGCGTACGTGGCACAAAGAGTCGTTGAGCTCGCCGACCCCGAGACGGCAGACAGGCTTCGTAACGCCTTCGACGTCGCTGCCGTAGACTGCGCCATCCTTCGCACCAGGATTGTTCAGGTCCCTCGCCGCGGCCTCGCCCAGGTCGTGGTCAAGGAGGACATTGCCTGGCACGTTGGTGATGACCTCCAGGGCTACCTCGTGAAGGACCGCGAGGAGGGTATGGACCTTGGCAGGCCTCTGGTTCGGTACGCGCTCATCGCCGAGAAGGAGACGGGCAAGGTGCAGTTCGTACTGACAATGCACCACGCCCTCTACGACGGCTGGTGCATGCCCCTCGTCGTCGACAAGGTCAACAGGGCCTTCGACGGCGTTAGAGTCCAGCGCCCCGCAGAGTTCAAAAACTTCATCAAGTACCTCGGTAGCATGGACCGCGGCGCCGCCGAGACGTACTGGCGCGATCAGCTTCAGGGTGCCAACGGACCTCAGTTTCCCGCCCTGCCGTACGAGGGTTACCAGACGCAGGCCGACTCTCTCTTGGAGGTTTACGTGCCATTGAGCGGCCGGCCGGCGTCCAACACCACCGTCGCGACAGTAATCCGAGGTGCGTGGGCGTACGTCGCGTCTCACTACTCGTCGTCGAACGACGTTATCTTTGGCGAAACACTCACCGGACGTAACGCCCCCATCAGAGGCGCCGAGGAGATCGAGGGTCCCATGATCACGACCGTGCCCTTCCGTCTTCAGATCAACCGGGAGACTACTGTCAGCGACTACCTCCAAGACATCCAGGATAAGACTATCCAGCAGATCCCCTACGAGCACACCGGTCTCCAGCACATTCGTCGTCTAAGCCCTGATGCCCTTGAGGCATGCGAGCTGAGGACAGGCCTTGTCCTCCACCCAAGCGCCGATGACTTCGACCAGGAGGAGTTCAACAAGTACCCCGCAAACCGCCTGGTCCCCGCCGGCGACGCAGAGGCCGCGGAGGAAGCCCTTAAGTTCAACACCTACGCCCTCATGCTCGTGTGCTCCACGGATCCCAAGGGATTCCTCGTTATGGCCTCATTCGACTCAAAGACTGTCCAGAAGCCGCTGATGGAGAAGGCTTTGGCTCAGTTCTCGCAGGTTGCCCAGAAGCTCTGCCAGCTTACTGACACGCCGCTTGGCGATGTTGCATACCTAACGCAGGAGGATCAGGCCGAGGTGTCTCGCTTGAGCACCGAGAGCGCGAAGAACGTTCAAGAGGAGTATCCGGAGGCCGAGAGCGTGTGGATCGTCAATCCGGCCGACTCTGGACGTCTAGCCCCGCTGGGGGTTGTCGGTGAGCTTGTGGTGGCTAGCAAGGCGGACTTGTCTTTATCTGCTTTGGAGCAGCAGCCCTCGTGGGCGGAGGGCAAGGAGGCTGTCAAGTTCTACAAGACGGATCGTTTGGCAAAGTTCAACCAAGATGGATCCGTTCAAATCACCGGCAAGAAGAGCGATCTGGTCCAGAAGTCTACCGCCTCCAGCAAGCCCCCTATGAAGCGCATCTCGGCCACGTCCGCCAAGCAGCGCCGCCTACGGATTCTCTGGAGCCACGTCCTTAAGCTTCCCGAGAGTGACATCGGTCTCAACGACAGCTTCTTCCGCCTTGGTGGCGACTCGATCGGCGCTATGAAGCTCGTCTCCGAGGCCCGCCTGGCCGGTCTCACGCTCACCGTCAACCAAGTCTTCTCCAAAAGAACGCTGTACGACATGGCCAGTGTCTTGCAGGACTCAGAGCCTACGCAAGACTCCCAAGACAGTGCGACAGCGCTGGTTCCTTTCGAGCTTCTTGACAACATTGGCGATGCCCCGGCAGAGATCCTGCGGCCCCTGTTGGCCGACCCAGCGTGGAAGATCGTCGACGCGTTCCCCGCCAGACCGCTGCAAGAGGTCGCCGTCAAGGGAACCATCGAGATCCCCCGTTTCTCGGCGCGCTACGAGGCCATGTACTTTGAGAGTGACGTTGACCGCCCTCGCCTCTTCCAGAGCTGTCAAGAGCTGGTCAACCTCAACGAGGTCCTTCGGTCCGTCTTCGTGCAACACAACGGCACGTGTCTCAGCGTCGTCCTCGAGGACGTCAAGACGCCCGTTGTGGAGCACGAGATCGACGGCGATGTCGAGGCCTTTGTCAAGGACCTCTGCAACCTCGACGTGCGGACGCGCATGCCTCTCGGCTCCGTCTTTGTCAAGTGGTTCTTCGTGCACAGCAGCAGTGGCCAGTCGGCGCTCGTCTTCCGCGTCTCGCACGCGCAGTACGACGAGATTTGCCTGCCCATCATGCTGCACCAGCTATCTGCCCTGCACGAAGGCAAGCCCGTGCCCAAGTCGCTCCCCTTTTCCTCCTTCGTCGGCCACGTCATCAAGAACAACGTCCCGCAGAGCGTCAAATACTGGAGGGAGCTCCTCGAGGGGTCCTCAATCAACGTGCTGAAGCCCGAGACCCCCGTCACGGAGAGGCAGCACCACGCCATCGAGCGGACGTTCGACATTTCGTCCCGCTCCAAGGACGTGACCATCGCCACGCTCCCGACGGCGGCGTGGGCGCTGACGCTCGCGCGCATGCAGAAGACGCGGGACGTGACGTTCGGCGAGGTCGTCAGCGGGCGCAACATCGACTTCCCCAACGCCGACATGGTCGTCGGGCCCTGCTGGCAGTACGTGCCGGTGCGGGTCAAGTTCGAGGACGGCTGGACGGTGCTGGACCTGCTCAACCTCGTGCAGAACCAGCACATCGCCAGCTCGGCGCACGAGGGCGTCGGGCTGCCGGAGATCAAGAAGCTCTGCGCGCCGCACTGGCCGGAGGAGACGGACTGGTTCGACACGGTGGTGCACCAGGACGTCGAGCACGTCGAGAGCCTCGGGTTCGAGACGGCGAGCAGCAGGATGGAGACCATCTACCCGCACCAGGAGCCGCTGCGCGAGTGGAAGATCCAAGCGTTCCCGCAGGGCGACAAGTTGACGATTGAGATTGTCACGTTCGAGTCGTGGAAGGGACACGCCAAGGACCTGCTGGACGAGATCGAAACGACCTTCAAGGTCCTACTGGGCAACCCCAGGGCGTTGTTATTTGAGCAATGAGGGCGATGAGGTGGATGTTAAATACTGCGCCTGGGCTGCATGGGAGGGGGGTTTGCATGTGTTTCCTTTATTGTTGACGGAGAGGCGAGTAAGTGTCTTATCTAGAAGAGGAACGAAGATTCCATTTTTTCTTATGTGATTGGGGTTTTACTGATTTGGATATACACATCATGATTTGAATCTTCTCGTCCGTATTTCCAACACTCCCTTGAACATTATGTTCTTTTTTCTTCTTCTATCCTATTTTCTTTCCCCCAGTGGCTCCCTTCATCGGCCGCAGGTGGTTCGCCTGACCCTCGGCCGCCTTTCCAAGGCAACTTCCATTTCCCAACCTAAGCTGGCTTCTTGCAGCCTCACTCTCGATCCCCCTACAAACAGGGTGGCAGTTTCTTTCTTGCCTACACAAACAGGGCGGAAGATGGCTGATGGCTCAACCTATCGTCGGTCGCCATTCTCACCGCCTCAAGCACAGAACCAATTCCACCCTGTTCACCTCATGCGTCTCCAAGGGGCCACGTTAAAGCGGCGAGCTATACCTCTCCAGCCAGAGAGATAAGCATGGCGTTGTCCCCGACACCTCTCCTCTCCTCCAGACACCATCACATACGCTTCTTTGCGACTCCTTCAGCACCTTACAGCCTGATCTTCACTCGCCGCTTCAAAGTACATCAACACCAGCCCCCTGTCAATATGTCTGACAACACCACCTGCGCTAGCGGCTTCGACCGCTTCCTTGCCAGTCTCGACGCCCCTGAGCACGCCGCCGACACGAGCTACATGGATCTCCTCGATTCTACTGGCTATGACGGATTGAACTACGACCATGGCGCTCTTGGCGCTGCCGAGTCCCTGGAGCCGTGAGACTTTTTTTTTACCATTTGCTAACAAAGAGGGTGTCATTTCGGTTCCTCAAGCTTCACTGAACGATGTCAACATCATGAATCTGCAGACCCACACGCTATGGGGGATTGGATGTAAGTTGCCCAGCCCAGTGTCTTTCCCTTTCCGTGACTTACGCGGCGACAGTGTGGACAAGGCTGTCCACCCTTTCCCACCCATCCCGGAAGACGGCAGCGCTTATGATCCTCCAATCGTCCATGCCTCTTCAACTTCTGACCTAGAGATGCCTCTGTCCTCCACTACTGCTTCAGAGGAGCCTGCGGGGAAACAACAGAGCTCCATCTGCGCAGAATACAGCTATGATTCTCGAGATGTCTGGTGGCTGGAATATCACGCGAGACAAAACGATCACAAAGCGTTTCCCTGCTCTGTTCCAGGTTGTAAGGAAGGCTTCTTGAGAAATAATGAAAGGGATGCACACCAACGTAGACCACACCTACAAGGTCATGGTCATGTGCAGCTAGACCATCCTCTGACGTGTGCGGAATGTACGATGAAGTTCTGCAGCAAAGCAAAACTCGAGGGACATGCCAACGAGGCACAGCACAGCCCGTTTGCCTGTATATGCGGCAAGACATTCGCTCGGCTTGATGTTCTGAACAGACATCTCGATTGTCTGGGGAGCGACCTTCCCAAATTTCCATGTCAGTTCTGCAAACGTCACCGGGGCAAGGACGGATTCCGACGCAGAGACCATCTTCTGCAGCACATCCGGGGATATCACAAATTTGAGGCAGAGGGAAAGATTGATTGCATATTGCCTTCTCGACGAGGCGAGCACCTGGCACCGCCAGTCTGTTCGTATCAAAGTTGCCCAAAATATCGCGATAACAGCTTCACCAAGTTAGGTGTTGAAGAACAGCAGCGGACAAAGCCATTTGCGTCGCAGTCAGAGTACACAAAGCACATGAAGACCGCCCATAACTTCACGCCGTTCCCCTGCACCATGTCAGGTTGCAACAAGACAGGTTCCAAGGGCTATGTTCGGGAGAAGGACCTTATCAATCACAGAAAGAAAGAGCATCCTGACGCAGCAGGCTACGTACCAGAAGCTCGAGACCTAAGAATCGCTTGTCGTTATCCAAACTGCCAGGACAGGCTTCTTTCAAGCAGCATGAGAAACCATGTTGAAATGCACCGATATCACGAAGGGCGTTTGGCCAGCCAAAAACAATAAGTATTGGGTTGAAACAAATGGTCAATTTGTTCAGATGGTCAACGAGGCGATGCCCCTGGGTCAGATTTCGGTTTCCAATGGCCCTCGACCCAACACGTCTTTTTCACAGTATTCATTTGTGTTTTTCCTAGTTCTTGTCAATCCATGTTTTTGAGTAGCTTGTCTCATTGCACCACTTTTTCCCCTTGTTGGTTATCATGTTTTAGTATTGGGGTTGGTAGTGACTGGTATCGACTGTGGTGGGGTTACGAGAAATGCAAGAAACAGCGCCATGGGAACCATTTCGAATTGCTGGTAAGGATCGGATATAGACTGTAGCCCAAGGGAATGCAACGTCTGTTTTTGTCGTCTCCTTGAAAACTTCAGCGATAATTGAAGCTCCCGTTTAAAATTTTGACCTGGCTATTACGTCGTCCAAGCCTGCAGCAGCCACGTTTTCTTGCTTTGCTCATCCGTCCACAGCCGTGGGCTGGCATGACCATACAATGACTCGGTGGAATTTGCTTATATTCTATCTGGTAGTCTTGGACTTGCCATAACTCCGTAGTAGAAGCATTAAATAGGCCGTAAAGATCCAGACTGGGTATATAACCAAACGCCAACCCAGGTTCCCGTTGCCGTAGTGGATATTAGGCAGGCGACGAACCTCCCCTTCACCTGGAAACATCCATGTCCTGAACTCCCCGGTCGATAGCCTCTAGAACTCTCTCAGTATACGCCCTCCCCGGGGCGCTCATCATAACCGAATCCTGGTGGTAGCCTTCCCCTTCCCAATGCAGTGTCCGTGGCGCAGGGTCGACTGGGTGTAAGTCGCCGACACGCTGCGGCATGCGTCTATACCGCTTCCCACTGTCGTCGACCCAGGTGAGCATTTCCGTACGGGGGTCGTGCATTCGAGCGATGAGGTAGTCCGTGGGCGACTCCCAATCTGGGTCAGCGAGGATCAGTCTCGCGATATCGGTCTGGTCGTCCAGCAACAGGGACAGGCGCGGCGCGGCGAGCTCTTCGGACCAGTTGTCGCCGAGAAACCGGACAATGCCGGCAATCTCGCGGTCGCCGATGCCGTCGATCCACCACAGGCTCTTGGCGACTTTCATAAACATGAGGTAGTGAGCGAGGATGACCAAAGCGCGAGGCCTCTTCTTGCGGCCCAGCTCGACGAAGCCCTTGGGGATAAATGTGAACCACGTAACGACGCGAAGGTTCATGATGGGACTGAAGCCGTTGGCGAGCTCCGCATAGAGGGAGCCGAGGTACTTCAGCGTGTCGTAGTACGTCGGCACGTCCTCGTAGTCCGGATCGCCGGGTTGGATAGAGGAGATCATGAAGAGGAGATCGTTGGGGATATGCTTGGCAGCCTCGTCCAGGTCGATGGGCGGGCGTATGAAGAGCTCTGCGAGCCCAGAGTCCCAAAGCGTCTGGGGCGTGGCCATGTCGATCATGAGGCCGATGCCGCGCCAGACGATCATCCAATCGATGATGTAGAGATCTTTGGTGCCCTCTTCACGGAACATTTGCGAGGACAGAGCCGTGAGGAGCAACGAGGTGGCGAGGAGAGCAGGGAACGTCTCAGGCTTGCCCTCCTCGATGGCCTTGCGGTAGCCCTCGAAGGCGCGGGCGCGGTAGCGGAAGACGCGCGAGGGCGAAATGTCCTGCTTCAGGTGCTGGAGCTGGAGGGCCGACGTGCCCAGCAGGCAGTCCATGAGAAAGGGGCTCTCGAAGGCGTGGCCGGGGATCTTGATTTGGAGTATGTCGTCGATCCGCTTAACGCGCCCTGCCTGGGTCGCAAAAGACGCAAAGGTGTTTGTGGTGTAGAACCACAGCAGCTTCATGTCGGTGGCGTCCCTGTCACCAGCGGGGATGAAGAGCGGCTCCCGCATGACGAGGGCGTTGTAGTCATCGTCGCTGCCGGCGTAGCTGCCCTGCCGCGAGCGTGCGGGCGAGATGGCGCCGGCGGAGGAGCTGGACGGCGACCCCGGACGAGTTTCGGAGTGGGAGTGGGACAGTGCAGGGAAGACGCAATCGGCCTTGCGGAGCATGCAGTTACGGCAAACCGGGCGAGACTCGTCGCACTTTACCTTGCGGGTCTTGCAGTTCTTGCATCCCGTACGGGACTTCTTGTGGGGGCGTTTTGAGTGGTATGGCTTGTCGTCGGTATGATTTGTGGCTGTGGTATTTGTGGTCGTAGTGTTGGTGGTGGTCGTAGTATCCGTGGTTGTGGTGTCGGTAGAAGTGGTGGCAGCGGTGGAGTCTGATTCACCGGGCAATGAGAGAGGGTTCATCGTGTCATCGAAGGCCTGGGGCGTGCTCTCCAGTCTCTAATAAGCCGATGACTGGCGCAACCTTGTGCTTCTAGTAGGATTTAGAAGAGAATGAGTTGTGGTGAGTGAGATGGAGGAGGGAAAGAGAAGACTTGGGGGTAGCAACAGCTTCACCTGTCACTGGCGTAAAGTCCGAGGTAAGACACCGAGAAGATGCTCGGGCCTCGTTCTCAAGGGACGATCTCCAACGGCCGGACGGGGGAAGAACTGTCGTCGGGGTTGAAACAAAGTTCTGTATGTGGGTGACACTGCTGGCGGAATGACACGGTTAGTTATTAGATGAAGCCTTCCGAGACGCTTTGCACGGATTGAGTCGGCCGAGCTTTGGTCCAGTCACTTAACCCCTGGAACCTGGAAGCCGTTGCTGTGAAATAAACTGACCAAATCACTTTAGCCGAGTCGAGCTGTGTACACGTATGAGGCCTCACGCCAAATCAAACTGCCTTTTTTGCCAAGTTGAGTGTTCGTTTCGTTCAGCTCATAGCCACAACGGAGAGTATCATTTGCCCCACACGAGCTGGCTAATTGGTGGTTCCGTTCCATTGGGGTCATTGATATCAGCTGCTCCTACTCAGTCGACGCAGAGGGTTGTTGACTTGGTACAGTACGGTACATGCTTACCTTACTCAGGCCAGGCGGCTGACAGAAGCACGATATTGGAGTACACTATTACAGTGCAATGGTTCATTCAATAATCCACGCAACCAAGCAGGAAGCAAGCAGGAGGGAGGGCAAGGAAGGCATGCGCATAAAGTACAGATAAGCGGCTGACGCACACAAGCCCTCCACTCAGTGGCATGCTAAAATTATCATTGCAAGAGACATAACGACGACAACTGCGCCTTCCACCCGCAGTGCCTCCTGCCCGTCGCTCAGTCCGCCCTCTATGGGTTGCCCTTTTTGGCCTTGGAGGGGGAGGTGTGTGTGTGTGTTTGACGAAATTGTTTGAACTCCGGCATGAGGAAGCTGACGAGCACGGCCGGACGTGAGAACGAGTGTATGAGAATGAGAGGCACGTGGGGAGGTTTCTTTCTGGTAAGCTGCGCGTTGTGTCAAAGTACCTGTTTGATGGTGGTGACCCGGCCCACGCTGCAGGGACGCTTTGGCCCCAACACCGCCCTTTCTCCGAACCCCCTTCCAGGGTGTCTGCCTAATCTGGCATCATCCCTGTCCATTTCGGTGTGGTCACATGATCGCGCGTCTTCGCTGGCTCTTCCCCCGGGGAAGCGCACGCGACGGACCGGCCCTATGCCAGGCCAACGCTGACCTCCCCTCTCCCGGAGGCTTTGACGGTGCTCTCGTTACCCTGAAAAGCTTGAGAGATTGTGAGACGGCCCCAATTAAGATGTCATCCCTCTTTCAGCTTCCAGAAGAACTTCTTCTGTCACCTCTGTATGACCGCTTCCCTTGCCGAGAACATCAAATCCGTTCCCTGGCTACCCTCCTCCATGTAAGTCGCAGCCCTTGACGAACGCCTCTGCCTGGTTTCTAAGTCAATCTTTAATTTAATATCCAGCCCGCCGCCGCGCCTTGCAAAAACCTTGTTGTATACGGTACCGAAGCTACCGGCAAGTCTGCAGTCGTCGAGTCTCTTCTGCAAACTTTTTCCAAACCCTCCGATGAGCAACCAGAAACCGGAACTTCCCCAAATTTCGCCATCGTCAACTCCATACAGTGTATTACTGGCCGCCACCTGTTCGAGAGGACCGTCGCTGCCGTGGTTGACTCCATAAAATGGGACGCACCGCCCAGGAAATGCGAGACTCTGGCGCAGTTGATGGTTGAGCTGTGCAAGATGCTCAAGTACGCCCAACGGCCTCAGGGCTGGCGCTTCGTCCTCGTCTTCGACGCAATCGACCGGCAGCGAGATGCTCCTCCGACACTCCTTCAAGCACTAGCAAGGCTGCCTGAAGTGGTCAGTGGACTCCCCGATCCAAACTCGTCCTGACCCTGAAAGCTAACCCCCTCGCTCCCGCAGATACCCTGCTTGACCTGTGTTTTCATTGTAACTGCACCGTCTCCCGCCTTCCTTCGAACCTCCTTCGCGCCGCAAATTCAGTTCCCAAACTATACCAAACAAGAGTTTGTCAAGATTCTCTCTGTCAACCCGCCGCCCCCGACCCCGACGACTACCCAGGACGACACAAACTTCCTTTGGACCCGCTTCTGCGGCGCTGTATGCGACGCCCTCACGACCTCGGCCTCTCGCACTCTGCCCTCGTGCCGCCACAGCTGCGAAGCCCTTTGGCCTCGCTTCACAGCGCCAATTCTCGCCCGCACGCACGGCCCGCGCGAGTTTTCCAAGCTTCTCATCGCTTCGCGCATGCACTTCCAGGACGAAAGCCTGCTGAACCCAAGTATCGTCTCCGTCAAGCCCGGCGCGGCGTCCTCGACACCCGCCGTGAACGGACCCGGCCCCGTCGGAACACCGTCCAAGCACGCAGCGGCTCAGCAGCAGGTGATGAGTACTGCCACCGCAGACCTGACGACGCTGCTGCCGACGACGACGCGCCTGTTGCTCCTGGCGGCGTACCTGGCATCGCACAACACCGCCAAGCACGATCTGGTGCTCTTTTCGACGTATCACCACGGCCGACGCAAGCGCCGCGGCGGAGGCTTCGTGGCGCCGAAACGCGGCCGCCCTAGCAAACACAAGAAGATTTCGCGCAAGCTGCTCGGCGCGCACGCCTTCGTCCTCGAGCGCATGCTCGCCATCTTCGCGGCCGTGCGGAGCGAGTGGGCCGCCGACGGCGGGTTTGCGACCGGGAGCGTGGTCGATGGAGACGTCGGTATGGCGATTTCGACCCTCGCCAGCTTGCGGCTGTTGATGAGGGTCGGCACGACGGGCGACCCGACGGACAGGGGCAGCAAGTGGAGGATTAATGTAGGATGGGATATCATCAGGGGTGTGGGGAGAAGTCTTGGTATCGAGGTGGAGGAATGGCTCGTTGATTGAGGAGGGGTCGGTCGGTCTCAAGACATGTTGCATACTGCTACGTATGGGACGGCATTTCTATTTCTCATGATTATGTTATAAGATGACTGCTAGACGGATAAATACCCATTTTACGTTTTGCCTGGAGCTCGGCGTATACCTGCCCGATTCAATCGAACGCCGCACAATTCTTTAAAGCTGAGTGCCGGCCCTTTGGATCTATTCCAAATGCCTGCCTGTATCTAGGTAGTGTGCCCTGTTGAGGATGACCTTCCTGTTGTCTTACAGATGCTCAATAACATCTCACCCGAAGCGACCAACCAAATAGTACATTGTTCTCATCCATCCATAGTCGCCAAACGAGGATGACGCTCATCATGATTGCACACTGAAACTCCTGCGACCCGTTACCCTAAAAATACCATTTGCACAAAAGCCTGCCCGTCTAACGGTCTCCAACCCGCCAGGTGTCCTCCTGCTTCGTGCCCGGTGCGAGCCAGGCAGCGTTACTTGCGCCTCGGGCTCGGCCATTGCTGGGCCCGTCTGATTTTTTGGAGTCTTCGCTCCTCCGAGGCGAGGGCCCATTGCTAAACGACTGAAACGGGCCCGCGGAGACCATGGGGCTCTCGTAGACAGGCGCGTTCTGGCTTGCGTTGAAGGCGTCTTTGGTGTTCAGGGGCAGAAGAGGCTCCTCCTTGATCTCCATCATCTTGGCCTTGCGATCCGCCTTGTCCCGGTCATGGGTTCGGTCGTAGAGGTAGAGGCCAAGGAAGGTCATCAAGATGCCGACTCCCTGGAGCGGTGTCGTTGGGTTCCGGAACCAAATGATGGCAATGACAATGACAAACACGCGCTTGATCAGGCTTGCAACAGAGTAAGTTACTGGTGAAACGAGCGACAAGAGGACAAAGGCGAGTATGTTTTGTCCAAAGTGGAAGGTGCCGTTGAAGATGAACTCAATGGTCAAACGGCCGTGATCAAAAGATCCCACCTTGTTGTTCAAGTCGACCGCTCCATCATGAAGGACATCGCCGATGATGCCGATGCCCTCGCTCCAGAGCCAGATTGGCACCGTCAAGATAAAGGCCATGCCTGAGGAGTAGCAGAGCAGGTTCAGCTTGTCGAGCTTTTGCGACCTGGCTGATTGGCCCTCAGCCTCGGCCTTGGCAGCTTCGTTGAAGAGTCGTTTGGAAAAGATGTTCTGCGTCACGAAAATGATGGTGGCGAGGAGAGCGTAAAAAATGCCCAACAGTTCGCCGCTGTATTTGTTGTGCTTGCCAGAGCAAGCCAGCATAACTCCAAAAGTCAAGGGGACCAACGACAGATATGTGTTAACTGAGTACCGGATGTTGAAGATCAACCGGTAAGCCAGAACCGTAAACAAGGGAGAGAGGCCCTTTATTGTGTGGACGAGCGAGACAGGGATCTTTGATGTCGCCGTCGAGCTCAGCAAGTGACCGAAGATCTGGAACGCGGCAAGAGGCATGGTAGTCTTGATGACGTCGCGGGAAGGGTAGCGGATCCCATGCTTGAGGGCCGGTATCGCAGTCTTGAGGCTTGGGAAGACATTGGCAAGCCAGGCAAATAGGATACAGTAGGTCGCCACGAAAGCAAACTGGATGAGGGTGAGCGTCGCGGGTTTATCGAAGGCCGTAAGGATGGATTTCGAGGACGTATTGGTCAGAGCGGATGAGGTATACCAGAGGACACAAAGTCCCTGCGGTGCCACTGTCAGCGCAAATGAAACGGCGGGATTACGACCAGAACACTTACGATCAGCTTGGGGGAAACGGGAGCCCGCAGCGCGTCGGCGATCTCATGAGCGTTCTGACCGACGCTTCCACCTCTTGTCCGTATGTTGTGAATGGCATCACCCAAGCTCTTTTGTTTGCCGTGACCGTACCGTATTGCCGATGGCTGGCTTGCCGGCCCCCATCTTATCCCACGACCCTGGAGGCTCTCTTTCCGAGGTTGCCAGCGGTCGCCGCCGCTAGATGCGCCGGGAAGCGCATAGCCGTTTGTCTTTCCAGGACTTGAGGTCCTTGAAGCGTTGGTGAGGTGGGAATCGATGTGATCCGGGAACTTCTCCATGCCGCCGTTGGCAGAGAGGGTGATGCTGTCGCCGTGCGGTCTTGGTGGGTGCTGCGACCGATTAACCGAAGATGTTTGTATTGTAGAGCCAGAGGTTGTGGAGTGATTCATGACGCGAATGCCGGGGGGGGGGATTTGGCGGGGACTTAAGTCTGGTGTCGTCGCCGTAGCTTGGTTCTATTGCTTGGCCTCGTGGACTTTGCTTCCGATTATAAACGAGTGACTTTTGCGACAACTATGCGCAAGAAACTTAGAGACGGATCAGGTCAAGCATTGTTCTGGCGTCGTGGAGAGTCGATATCAGACGGGGTGCGCTCTGGTGATGGTAATGCGTTGACGGCTGCATGGAAAAGTCTCGAGGCCAGGGCAACATTTACCAAAGTTAGGTCCGTAGGTAATCTTGTACCAGGGGAGCTGTCCTCATCTCGAACAATCGGGAAATCCCACGGTGCTGCATCAGCGCCTAGGAATGGCTAGTGTTCAGTGTCTGGATGGATCCCTGCAAAGCCAGGGGCAAACGCACCCCCACGGCGCCCACTAGTGTACAGTGCTGTATGTACAGAAGAAGCCCACCCACCAAGCCCGCTGGAAGGACCGGCGCAGCCGGGTGGCACTGTCAAGTGCAGCAGTTGGCTGGATTATCCTTAGTCCTATCCTCCGAGTGCCTGCACCAGCCAGTGCCGGGCTGGATCCGAGCTTCTTTGGCACCTGTGTATCCGTACCGGTAGGTACTTCCTTTACGGTACGTACCGCCATCGAGCCTGTCCCTCACAAGCGGCTCCTTGGATTTTTGAGACCCACTTAATCGTTGTTCAGCCTCCAAAAGTTTGGCGCGCTTGTCACGCATCGCCAGTCGCCTCCAGCAGGCTGCTAGCTCATCGAATTCTCCCACGCGCACCCGGCCCCGTAGCATCGTCGGTGTTTTCATCTGCATTTCAACGCCGTGCGCTCATAGGCCAGGCCAGCTCTTGTTCTGTGGCTGTCAAAGCATGCGCCCCCGCCAAGACCCGAGACGATTCATAATACTAGGACTGCTCTGCTACGTCGTAACACAAGCCACACCACAAGCCTTCAGCTCGAAGGCGCGTTTCGATTCAGGATGGCGGCCCCAAAAATGACCAAGAACCAGATGCGGAGGGCGAAGAAGAAGGAGCAGAAGAAGGCACAGGCAGAGGTGCGTTTCTCAAAGGGTGGTGATGTGCGCGTGACCCGTACTGATATGGAAAGCAACCAGACCGCGTCGAAAACACCCGAACCCAAAGACGAGAAGAAGCCAGATGAGGCCGAGACACAGGAGAAGACCGGTGACGAACTCGAAGTTAAGAATGATGACGCCACCAACGTTAAAATCGAAGTTGATGGTCCTGCCGACGACTTCGACCTCGATGACGAGAGGTTTGCCGCTTTCAAAGACATTTTCTCAAAATTCGGTGTCTCATTAGACGAGGACGAAATCGCAAAAGAAGCCAACGCCGGCAACCAGGGCGAGGTGTTGTGGGACGACGACGACATTCCCAGTGAGGATGAGGAGGCTTCGGGACAGACTAAGCTTTCCAAGAAGAAGCGGAAGCAGCTCAACAAACTCTCGATCGCAGAGCTCAAGGCACTGGTCAAGATTCCCGATGTGGTGGAATGGCAGGACACGTCGTCTTCGGACCCGCGACTTCTCGTGCAGATCAAGGCGCAAAGAAACGTGGTTCCTGTTCCCGGCCACTGGCAGCTGAAGAGAGAGTACCTGTCCTCGAAGCGAGGTATCGAGAAGCCACCCTTCCGGTTACCAAAGTTCATCGCCGAGACGGGCATCACAGAAATGCGTGACGCTGTTTTAGAGAAGCAGGAGCAGCAGTCGCTCAAGCAAAAACAGCGAGAGCGCGTTGCGCCCAAGATGGGCAAGCTGGACATTGACTACCAGAAGCTCTACGATGCCTTCTTCCGTTTCCAGACCAAGCCTGAGCTGACACGGTTCGGCGAGGTCTACTACGAGGGCAAGGAAAGCGAGGTTGATTTCCAACACTTTAGGCCAGGTGAACTGACCGAAGCCACAAAAGAGGCCCTGGGCATGCCGCCTGGTGCCCCTCCACCCTGGCTCATCAATCAGCAGCGCTTCGGCCCCCCTCCCTCATATCCCTCTCTCAAGATTCCGGGACTCAATGCGCCGCCGCCGCCAGGCGGCTCTTGGGGGTTTCATCCCGGTGGCTGGGGTAAGCCTCCCGTGGATGAGTTCAATCGTCCCCTATACGGCGGTGACGTCTTCGGTCTCACCAACCAGGCCGGCGCGCAGGTGGCGCCGCCGGCTGTCCAGCCCCTGGGTACTGGTGAGCCCGTCGAGAAGACGCTTTGGGGTGAGCTTCAACCCCGCGACGAGGAGTCCGAAGAGGAAGATTCAGAAGAAGAGTCAGAAGACGAGGAGGGAGAGGACGAGGACGTCGCTGCCGGCCGCGCGTCGCCGAGCGGTATCGAGACCTCGGGCGGCATGGTATCCTCCGTGCCGACGGACTACCCGGGCCACGGCGTTGAGACCTCAGTTGCGGGCGAGATGGACCTGCGGAAGCAGAGACGCGGTTTCGACACGGAGGAGAGCTCTCACCCCCGCTCCGCATATCAGGTCATCCCCGAGCGCCAACAGCGCACCGAGGGCTTCTTCGGCAGCGACAGGGTCTACGACCTCAACCAGCAAAAGGCTGCCGGTAACGTTCCGGTGCTTGGCCAGGAGGATGACACCCGCAAGCGCAAGAAGCCCGGTGACGTCGACGTCGCGCTCGACCCCGACGCGCTGCAGAACAGCGACGGTATCAGCAAGGAAGAGTTGCGGCGCCGGTTTGAGGAGGGCAAGCGCGAGGAGGGTATCGGCGCCAAGTGGGCGTACGAGGAGGATCTGTCCGAGATGATTGCGCAGGAGTCGAGGAAGAGGCAAAAGGTCGACGAGAAGCGCAACGAGGAGAAGAAGAAGCAGAGCAAGTACAGGTTCTAAAGGCTTCGGAAGAAGACCGTGTTTTGTTCCTTCTCCTCCCCCCCGGCAGTCTTGGGCTATTGGTTGTCGTTGTATACTTTTTGTGTCTCCCATGGAGACTGGCGAGTTGCGCTCCAGTCGAACGTGTTATTTTTCATGTGCAATAGGGCAAGCGGCGCTAGGCTGGCATACAGGGGTTGCAAACTCATATTTTCAATTTGAAGATTGTATCGAGTCTCGCAAATGATATCTCGATGAGTGGAGGGCGTTGGAGGGCAACCAAGTCTGCTGTTGTCGACACTGGCCTACATCCTCTCAACACTTTCTGCAGTTTATTCCGCCCGCCCTCGAACACCTCGGCGCGTCCACTTGTCGAGTAGTTGGGTGCCGTTTGCAAGCAAAGCCAGTTATTAATCATCCCTGGCGCCTTTATTTATCCATATCTATCTGCGTCACTAAATCATATCATGCTACGCCAAATGCCTAATGCAGATGCATCCGCTTGCTAGCCATTGAAAGCAGACACCATCCCACATCCCATCACCTCCTCTTCGAACTTCAAATGTCTTTTGTAAGCAATCGCTTTTTTGGCACGAGTCTCCGTCGGGTCTTTGGCGCTGGCGTTGGCGCTGGCTTTGGGTTTGGTTGTTCTGCCGGTTGCTGGATCTCCTAGGTCCGTTCTACGGCTGGTGTGTTGAAGCACTGGTTGCAAACCCAATCTGGCACTTCGACATCCATCTTAGCGTTCTCACTGATGCAGTCCGAGTGATAGAGGCGCTTAGCGCAGCTCTTTTCGTTTTGTTTGTTCACGTCAGCCATGCCATTTTGCACAAGACCCTCTGAGTGGTGGGAATCTTACAGTGTTGGAACACAAGAGCAACCTCGGTCCAAGGACGGCCAGTCCGCAGACCTGGCACCCAGCAGCGCTCTTCCGAATATGTGGTCCCTGTGGCGACCCGTTGGGTGCCGGTGCCGTATATCTGCCGTTTTCCATGCCCAGCTCTGCCCTGCAAGCGGAAATATGCTTAAGAGCCTCTTCGACGGTATCATGGTCGAGGCTGCCCCTAGCCAAGAGGTACGTGAGATGCTTTCCAAACTCCAGCATGCGAGAAGTCGAGGACAGTAGCCAGTCCGACTTGACCTTCACGAAACTCAGCCAGGCAGGAGGGAAGTATATATTCGACGTAATGCGCTTCGTAAGCATAAACTTGTCCCATTCCTGCATGTACTCCCTCTCGTCGGGCGGGACATCTGAGAAGTCTGCCAGGGCGTCTCGGTGCCATTGGATGAGCCATTCGTCACTTGGTTCAGGCTTTCTGTACTCGGTGCCCGGTTGTAACTCAGCCCGCGTGATTGGGTCATACAACGGTTGCCCAATATCCGGAATCAGTAGTTTCGAACGTGTCTACGCCATGTGAGCAGGGTCCTCAAAGAATATCCAGACACAGAACAAACCTGCGCGGGCTTAGTGGGCGGCTGTTTACTGGCCCGTCCCTGTGGTTGAGCTCCTGGTGTGCTCTTGTCTTCGGTCACGAAACGTGAAGTCACGTATGACAAGTTTCCTTCGGCAAACTGGTCCAAATCGAATGCCTTCGTGGGCCGGCGTAAAACAAACGGCTCAGGGCCGAATGAATACGTCTCGTAGCGATGGGCAACCTCAAACTCTGCCGCTTTCGCACGGGACTGCGGCCGGTACTCATACTCGTCGTGCAGGCTTATCAAATGCGCGTGGAGCTGGGGAAGAGAGCTATGCGGCATGCCACACGTGATGCAACGGAAGGAATCCAGGCATACCTTCTCACTCGGTAGGTAGTAAGTAACGCTGCCTTCCTCGACAGTGTTTGCGGTGCCACGTTTCTTGCGTTTCTTGTCCCTCCCTTGGGCCTTATCACTGAGTACTTTCAGGTTATAGTTCTTGGTGGTGCCGCGTACTCGAAGTGACCGGTTCGGGGTCAGTTCTTCCTCGGCATCCTCGTCGCCATGAGCTTCTCCATTGACAAGGCCGTTTCTAAGAGCCCTAACTGGAGTTCCGGGGGGACTCTCCTCGTACAGCGGCTCGATAATGCCATTGTTGACCAGAGGGTCTTGCGGCACAAGGGTCCCAGACACAGTGATGGAGGGCTCGACACCTGCCTCCACGGCGCGAATTTGACCTGCCTCAAAGGCAGTGGCCCACGAAGCGTCGACGTCGATAACGTGATCTGTCGGTGCGAGGGATTGCGGAGTCTTCTTAACTTTGAGGTTCAGCAACGCCCGCCGCCTCGAAAACAAGTCGGACGATGCTGCAGTGAGTACCCAATGTATGGTATCTGACTGCCGGGAAGAACCATACTCGTCGCTGGAAGAGTGAATGGTGATGGGCGGCCAGTAGGTCGGACCAGCGGCTTCCAGCTCAACACAGAGGCGATAAGAATCGGCGAGGTCGAAGGAGCCATCATCGTCGCGGTTGATTCGCATGCTGTCCTCAGGGATGTAGAAGGGGCGCGGCAGGCCGATGCGTGCCACGCGGTATGGACCGCCGGGATCCTTGAAGGATCTGATATCGCAGAGTTGGCTGTTACAGTACAACAAGACGTCGCCGGCCTTGGTTACATGGGAAAGTGAAACCTTGCATCGTGCTTTGAGGTTCACGACATCATCAGAAGGGACGGCAGAGACCCTCTTGGAGGCCCTGTGAAAGATCCTGTTGACTTGGACGCGTAGATTGCGCTGCAGGTCGCCGACGTCTCGAGCTTGGAATATCTGATCTTGGAGCTGGTGATCGGCATCGAAGCATCGGCGCTTGGCCGGGCGGCCGTCGCCGTGGCCATTGGGAACAACTCTGGAGGCAGCGGCTTTCTGAGCCGACGACTGGGTGCTGCCCATGCCTTGCAAGATGTTCCTCTGGAGAAAAGGGGTGCTGCGCTGGCGCCGCGAAGGAAGCGTCATAGCTGGCAAAGGGGGACCATGAGAGGTGTATGGAAGAGGCGAGGCCCGTTTTGTGTGTTTCGGAAAAGGGCCAAAGAAGATTGAACGAATTCAACCTACTTTGGGCGGCGTGGCCCCTTATTTCGCAGAAAAGCCCACTTGGACAAGCAGTAGCAGTCTTGACGCTGGTGCTCCTTCAAGATGACATCCAAGTGAGAGCTTTGGCAACACCTTTGTGATGAGAAACAAACGCGGATGTTCCCCCTAGTGCTGATTGCATCTCATAAGCGATACATTCGACTGACGGATTGGGCGTCTTATGAGTAGGACGCAAAGGTGATGGTATGCTCACTCAGAAGTTGTTGTGGTGAGCGATGCGACTGGACGGCCGAGACGACGGGCGGGACCGAGGTAGACAGACGCGACCGCGACTTTGCTTTTGCCTGAAGTGAATGAGTAGCCCAGGTAGGACTGCCTGACTCGGCGGGTCAGCGGTGGGAAAAGTGAGTTCTGGGCCGTCAGGTAGAAAGCGGCAGTAGATAGGTAGGGAGAGTATCTGTGGGGAGTGGCGTTCCGCGGCAAGAATATGAAAAGCAGCAGTTGAAAGACGTGGAAGTCGAAGCGCGTCGTCGTTGACGCCTCAAAAAACGTGGAAGACGGGCCTCAAGACAGTTGACTTTTAGGGGGGAAAGGGACCTGGGGCTTCGGGTTTGGTTGTCAGTGCAGTACAGCACGACTTACCGGGGTTTAGCGGGTTTGCTTCCCGGCGTTGCTGGCCTGAGTTGCTCCTGGGAAACCTGGGATGTTGTAACCGTACAGTACTCGTATCCGTACCTACCTAGGCTGCTAGGTAGGTAAGTACGTTATGATTGGTTTATTGGTGGATCCAAGTGGATCTCCTTTCTCCTAGGCGAAACGGGAAGCAGCAAAACTGCCTGGGCAACGACCGAGTCCCCAACTGTCGAGTTTTCTTGTCGGGAAATCTCTGGCCAACTTGCACTTTGACATGCCATTTCCAGTCATCAGCACATAAGCATCGTGCAATGGTTGCAAGTGTGCATGCAGCCCAAGGCTGGACCTTCGCTTTCTATCTTTCTTTGCGAATCAAAATGGCCAACGCATCTCACTTCCCCTGAACTAGAAACGTCCGCTCACGGTCCGCGCAACGAGCTCTCGCTGTCGTTCTGCGTGCACTCCCTAATCGATCCCCGGAAGCCCAATGCCAATGGATGCCAGACGGTGAGCAAGCAAGCTCAGCCCTCAGTTGCGAGAAAGCGAGCTTGGCCAACATACATCGGGAACGGTGCACTGACCATCTGTTTGCGGGGCGGGGGCGTTCGTTCGACATGTCTAGGTAGGCAGCCTTGAGCGCAGGACGCTAGTGCAAGGCTGAGAACCTTGGTTCAGTTTACTGTCACCACACCTGCCCCACCCGAACCAACTGCACCTCACCCGCAAAGGTGAACTTTCTTCGATCGTCGACTCTCTGAATAAACTCTGATGCTCTCTCAACAGCATCACTTGCGCTTCTTCTCTCGCATTTCTCGTGTACTTCACTTCATCACACATGTGGTTTTCACCCGCCGCCTAGGTAGCTTTTCGGGGTTCCGGTCGTCCCTGTCGCAAAGGTCATCGCCAACAGTCTGAAGCGACATGCGCTACGTCTTGCAATCGCCGTCGTCGCCTTACCCTTGACTGTTTGCTTCCACTAAGCCCCAGTCGTTTCGCGAATCTGGCAAGCAGGTAGGCATTGCAACATAACTATCACGGCCTAAGGTGTTGCTTACACAAGGACCACACCTGTGATTCAGGCCTTCACATTCTTGCTCACCATTGCACCATGGCCCCAAAACGACAAGCTGCTGCCCGAGCCGGCGCGGCTTCGACGCCTCGCCGCAACCCAACTCGCAATGCCGAAATCCCCTCTTCTGCTACCGACCAGATGCGCGTGACGAAACCTCGTGCCCGATCCAATACTGCCAAACCCACTTCGGGCTCATCCGGCAAGACCCGGTCCTCCGCTCGGACACAGAGACTATCGTACGTTGGTATGGATACTTCTGAAGACGAGTCGCCGGTCGAACAAGAATCCGAAGACACCGACGCACTCACCCGAACCTCAAGAAAGACGACGCGCCGAGGCCCCAAGACAGCAACTGCGAGCGCACCTGGACCAACTCGCACAAGCGCCGACAACAGTATTGGCGGGGAAATTACCAGCATCAAGCGCAAGCCAGCTGCCTTAACCCAGGACACCCAGGAATCCGTGATAGGAGAGGCGTATCGGCGAAAAGCCAAGTGTTCATCGCTTGATCGCGACTCCTCCGATGAGCAGGATCAAGACGGGCCTGATGACGACTTCGCCAGCGCAAAGGCAGCACCGAAAACCTCTCGGATGAAGCGGGGTCATGGGCGACTGCCGCTAGATAACACGGACCCCAAACCCGACTTCTCAAATTCCGTTATTCCCAATTGGCTGGATCCGCAGATTGAGCACTCTATCTGGGTGCAGATCTTCCAATATGCTGCAACCTCTGACGACGAGCAGGATACCCTTGATATCAACTGGCTTCTCCGGACTGCTCGAACGTGCCGACAATTCACAGACCCGGCTCTGACGGTTCTCTACAAGTGTCCACCTATCCGGGATGAGATCAAAGCCTATGATCTAGTAGAGTTGCTCGAGAAGTCACCATCCTTGACTGCCATCAATTATCGTGCAAAGATCGAGGCGCTCCATATCGATGTGCGGCTTGTTGCATTGCAGGGCCTCACCTCTCCGCTGAGAATGATGCAAAACCTGCCCAGGCTTTCAGAAGTACTGCTTGTCCATGGATATGACCAAGCTCCATATCGACTGCTAAAAGAATCGATCAAATGGACGTACCCACCGGAACTCTTCCTAGCCTTTGGGGTGTCGCCAAATGCAAATGCGGAGGCGGGAGACAAAACCGCTATAACACGGCTTCGGAGCTGGCAGTGGAGCTCCAGGCTTATGGCCAAGGACTGGGAGGCCAGCCTTTTGAGAGTCAAGGAGGTTCACCAAATGCCGAGCTTCGCCTCTCTGCGCAAGGTGAAGTATGTCAACTACCAGATGCCATCCATCCGACGAGACAAGGACCCAGGTTCCAACCCTGACCTGCAGGCTGAAGATGAAAGGTCCGTGGCTCTGCTTGCAGACTCCATTTCGACGTTGGAGAGCCTTGAGGACTTGGTCTTTGAATCTTCAACAATAGTCGGGCCGTCTTTGTTCACTCTTCTCCCGGCAAAGTTGAAGCGCTTGGAGCTTATCAATTGCGCCGAAGTCATCGCCGATGACTTGAGCTTGTTCTTGGTTACGAAGGGACATCACTTGGAATCACTTGTTCTGCACCACAACCGCTCGCTTAATCTAGGCTTCCTCACAGTGCTCGGTTCTGCCTGCCCACATCTTATGGAATTGCGGATGAACCTCCAGTACTTTAGTCTATTGGAGGCAATCGACGACACTCTGCCCTCCTACGACACATTGTTGTTCCCTGAGCAAGTGCCCAGCTGGCCGTCTTCTTTGCAGCTTGTTCACTTGGAGAATCTCCGTTACTGGAGCTCTGACGCTGCCGTGGCTTTTCTTCAATCTTTCATTGACAGCGCCCGCGATCTACCGATGCTTCGACATGTGTCAATCAAGGCGATGCTGGACATCTCTTGGCGGTCGCGTAGCGAGTTCCGCCGATCCTGGCAGGAAAAGTTTGAAAAGGTCTTTCTCCGGCAGAGTCCAGACCCGAAGCCGCTCTCTACCTTGCGCAAGCCGCCTCCTGCTGAGACGCCCTCTTCCCTAACAGTCACGAAGCGGAGGCTCAAGAAACTGGTTGCGGAACCCTCTCGGCGAAGCAATCGTATTGTATCACACCCATCAGGCACTTCTTCCCGTGCTAGCAGTACATCGAGGGGCCTTCGCGGTCAACGCCGGAAGCCCCAGTCATACCTTGAGCCAGACAGTGATGAGTTCGATTCGGACGGCGACGTCGACATGGACGGCGCCAGAGACTCGAACGAAGACTGTGGCGATCAAAACAGAGAAGGTGCAGCTATAGATGCTCCAGTATACCACGGGACCTTCATTCAGGGCATGTGCACTGTGATCGACATCAATATTGATAACCAGAAGCCAAGAGAACATCAATACAGCATGGATGACTTCCTCAATGACGAGAAAGACTTCGAGTCAGATGGCGATTGGGATGGCGACATGGACTTCGAGTAGGACTAGCTGTCTTTTTCCGCTCCCAAGTTGAAGGAGAATACTGCTGGTCAATCTATTGTCTTGGCGTTTGAGACAGCTGAGAAAACACTTTCTGGCTGCACAAATCTTTGTGCACACATGTAACATCATACGACTTTACTGATTTTTACACGCGCGCTTGCGCGCGCGCTTTGGCTCATTGTTATGGAATACGACGGCATGAACAACGGTTTAAACCGGCGTATAGGGAAAAGGCTGAGAGGGACTCGCCTGGTCGGTCAGTCGGACACGGACGGAATGGCGGAAGACCGATGATGAATATGGTTTGACAGAGGCTCCGGACAGTTAGTCCGGGGCACATTCGAAGCCGTCTTTTGAGATTTGACGACTGTTATTAGTATGGCGTCTTCCCGTCCTGATGTTGAGGAGCAGGAAGCAGCCCGAGTTGTGGAATAGAAAACCACTACCACCGGGAGTGATTGTCTCCCCAATGTCTTATTGGAATGCCCCCCAGGCTCAGTGATGTACACGTGCATGCTAAGTGAGCGTGAAAGAAAAGCTGCCGTCCCATGCTTACACCACCCGTGTGTCGTGGCAACGTCTTCACCAGACAAATCATGCTTGAACCGACGACTCGTCGTCGCTCTGCTCCATCGCCGGCGCGTGCTCCCCTGTGACAATGCAAACGAAGACTTGAGATTCTGTACAATTCACTCGCCATGCGCTCATTTCAAAAGACCGCAACTCGCATAACCCTACTGACGGCGTACCGGAGCATGTCCCGAGTCTGAGTCTATTACAACCTTTCGACGGGGGGTATCCTCGAGCTCTAAACCTACAGAGAGACTTCCAACAAAGTGTTTTCGTACATGTAAAATAACGCAGACAGTAGCAGTGGTGGCGGTGGTAGTGGTACATCATCATTGTCACCGCTCATGGCGACAGTCCGTCTCCATTGCATCATTGGCTTCCAAGGCAAAAAAGAAAGTGAAAAACAGTTCCCCCAATGCATCTGCTCGTTCGCCACCCAAAACCCTTTTAAAAGGCAGCTCCCCCGAGACCCTCGCCAGCCAAGCTCTTGAGGCTTTGCTCGCTGAGGTCCACCCTCGTCTTCCACGCCTTGGACTCCATCTCGAGTTTGTCCCACATCTGGAGACTTTGCCGCAGCTTATCCTGCTTGGCGTCCAAATCCGCGCGCGCTTTCTCCTCCTCTGCCTTGAGCTTCTTGTAATGCGGTTCAATCTCTCTTGTGATGCCCGTGGTTGTTGGAAGCAGGGATGGGTCGATCTTGCCTCCTGGGACGATAGGGGGCAGAGTGGCAAGCATACTCTGAGCAAGCGTAGGTCGGGCACCTCCAGCGCCGTGCTGCAATGAAGGGCCAGTGGGAGGGTTGAAAGGCTTGGGTGCAGTGGAGGTGTTTGACGGGGTGTTGTTTGAGGGGTTGGCGCGTGGTCCGGTTGGGATAGCTGATGGGCCGTTGCCAATGGCTGAAGGAGATGTTGTAGGAACAGGGGCCTGTCGAGGCGACGGGCCCGACCACGAGCCTCGTCCGCCACGGGTGCTGTATCCGCCACCCCTAGCCGGAGCTACATAGCCTCGAGGACCAGCGGGAGGGATCGTGGGGCTGGTGGCGTCTGCGCGTGGGGGTGGCACGCTCGGGGTCTGCGGGTGTCTAGGTGGCTGAACAGCTGGTGAGCCGGCGGGCGCAGAGAAGTTTCGGGTCGCGGCAGGGCCGGTCGGAGGAGCACGTAAAGCGGCGGGGCCTCGAGGTGGTGTCTTTGCTACCGGTGGGGGTTCTTGGGGGGCGGCAGCGGCAGCGGCGGCGGCGGCAGCAGGCTTGGGTGCTTCGCGAATCGTAGTCGTCGTCGTCGAGGACGATGATGCAGCAGAAGCACCGCCGGTCTGGAGGGGTGTGGGTTCCCGCTCTCGCTCTCGCTCTCGTGGCTGCTGCGGCTGCTGCGGCTGCTCCCGCTCCCGTTCGACGCGCTCCCCACGCTCCCTCGATTGCGGCCGCGATCGTGCTCGGATTGAAGGAGGAGGATGCGGTGACGACTTGCCTGAAGCTGATCGAGACGTGATCGCTGACGAGATGCCAGAATCTCGGGGCGGCGACGCCCGTCTGTAGGAGGACCCTAGATATCGCTCGCCACCGCGGCGACTCGTGCTACGAGACCGCGGCCGATAGCCGCCTCGGGGTGCCGGCGCAGGCGACCTCCTGGGTGGAGGAGTCCTGTCCCGATGACCCCTGTCGCGGCCGTAAGGCGAACGCGACCGTCTTCTAGCAGCTAATGAGACTGGAGTGTGTGCAAAGGGGGGCAACGAACGGTACCTGTCGTCCCGCCGATCAAGGTCCCTGTCTCTCTCCCTCTCACGATCTCGATCTCTGTTGTCGCGGCGCGGGGGCGATCTGGCACGGTCGCTCCTCTCGTCCCGGATAGCGGGAGATCTGCCGATGGGGCTGCGTCGCCTCGAAGGGCTACGTCTCGGCGAGGGGCGTCTCACGGGTGGGCTTCGGGTTCTGTCCCGTCTGCGCCAGGTATCGCTCTGAGGACGCGGGTCTCTATCTCGCGACCGGTCACGTCGGTACCGCTCAGTGCTGCGGGACCTCCGCCGCGCGGGAGATCGTCCGGGGACATAACTGTCCGATGTCAACGGCGGCGTGCGGGCGCGCTCCCTGTCGCGGTCACGAGAGCGCGGCCGATCTCTGTCTCTTGGGTCTCTGTCTCGCTCTCTGTCTCGGTCGCGGGATCGTAGTCTTTCTCTGTCTCTGTCACGGTCGCGGTCGCGATCACGGTCGCGGTCGCGGTCACGGTCGCGGTCTCGTTCGCGATCTCTCAGAGGACTTCGGACTCGTCGTGGGGAGCGGTCTCCGCCGCCGCGCGGAAAGGGTCTCCAAGATTCGCCAGCGCCATACCTAGTGACCTCGCCGTCCTCGTATCTATTGAGCCTCGTTAGCTGCTTCCTCTTTCCGGCCTTGACACAAGTCGTGAGAGTCCGTGACAATTTAGTGTTCAGTAGGCCAAGCTGGAGCAATGTAGCTCATCGCTAGCTAGCTGCGCTTCGCGTTCAACGTAGGGGCAGTGTGCCAACAAGTATCAATCATATCAGGTATACCACAGGGATCGCAATCGAATAACTGTTAATAGAGCCCAGTGCATAGCCGAATAGCTGCTTTCAACAACACTTCGTGGTGCAGGCAATGACTGAGGGTATCCATCGATAGGGAGGGCTAGTCTCGGGCGGGGCAGGCAGGAGAGGAAGAGATCAAAGTCAAGTGTAACTTACCTGCTTCTGCGGTCGCGATCCATGGTTATCGTCAAACCGAACAGATTTGGTGATTCCGGGGCGAGAAACGGAAGGCAGACTTCCGTGATGATGACAACGCGCGCTGGTCGTAAGTGTTGAAGAGGGTAAGCTACCTGTTGAGGTATTGCGCCGAAGCTAAAACGGACTTGGATAGATGGAGCAAGGTCGCTTGCAAACGGTAGCAGAGAACAACGCGGCGCTGCACATCTTCCTTGCAGGATAAGATAGGGAAGGGGCCAGTAGACCCCTGACCAATGAGAGACTATAGTTCAACGACGCTGCTTAGGTACCCACAGCACATCTTTCACGTAGAGGCCAGCCAATCAGAGCTGGAACAACTGACGAAAGGCTAGGGGCATCTCCGCGACGAACGATCGTAAAAGAGCTGATGAAGGCAACCGAAAATTTTCTACCCGTGTACAAGTGGGTCAGAAACCGGCGGAGTTTATACTATAAGTAAAAGAGTCAACGCAAGTACAATCTCGCAAGTAAGAAGGAAAAAGGTTTAATAAAAAATTGCAAAAACCAAGACCTGCAACTCATGGGGGGAAAAAGTAACCCGGTTGATGATGGCTGTGCCTATCGTGGTGAGGATTTGAGCCTCACGCGGGGGTCGAACCCGCAACCTTGAGATTAAGAGTCTCACGCTCTACCGATTGAGCTAGCAAGGCGGGTTGTTGTGTGAATCTGAAGAACCATTGTTGGGGTACCCAAGCAGAATCAGACTCTTGAGGGCTGGCCAGACCTGGAAGATCATCACCTGCCTTGCATGGGAAGAACATAAACACCAGAGAAGTCAATATATTCGTGCTACGCGGTTAGATGTCAAAAGCAGTTCTCTTAGGGGTCTGTTTGGTGGCGACTGCCCTGCTCTCATGAACTCCTGGCAAAAGTACTGTCCCTTCAGCCTATCCTCTGGTCCCGATCTTCCCACTACACGATGCTCTGATATTCCTATGTAGATGTACTGCACATCACATATCCTCTCTCACACGTCTCAAGTCCGTGTGGGTTGTCTTTCGGAGATCGATCATCCAGTGCCGATTCATCTCATTCCTCTTGCTCAAGTCATCTTGTCATCTTCTGTGGTATCTCCATTCTGGCGAGCTGCCAGCATCTCCAGCATCCATTTTTGGACCTCCCCAGCATGTGTCTGCATCATCTTCTGAACACCGTTGACATCGCTGCGAATGACTGTTCCAAATCGCCGTTTGGTGACCCTACGCAGTGTGTCTTCGCTGTTCCAGCACGGATGGTCATGTGATACGTAGATCTGAGAATGCCCTTTGTACCACGTTGCAAGTTCGTTGTCGACGTCGGATTTGACTGGTCGTAGCATGCCTTCGACGAAGCATGCAACTCCGGCAATACGCGCTTTGCAGTCTGTTCAGAAGAAGAAGAAGAAAAGTAAGCAGGAGACTCGTTTGTCGTCGTCAACAACACATACCTCGGCCCGTCAAAAGCGCTCTGACTCCACTGTACGACCTACCCACACCAACGAGTAGTATATCGTCGGCCTCCTCATAGAGCTGGAGGTAGTTGTCCCAAAGATAGTTCGCCAGCTCTTGAAGCTCGTTCAGCAGATCCTTGTCTGCCGTTCTAGGGCTGTACGGGTCCATGTCTTCATCCCGTGATACTTTGCTGGGTACGTTGACGTCCATTACTGCGATGCCTTGGTCAACAGCCCAGCCAATGTATTGTGCCGTACTATCGACAACCCATGCATTGTGAGGTTCAATGTGGCGGTCAATCACATCTGGTTGTGCAAGCAACTCTGGCGGATCGTGGATGATGACGAGAATGCGACGCGCCATTGGAATGTCGGGGGTTACGAGGACCTGATTTTCGTATGATTTGAAAAGGAGGTCCCTCTGGATGAAGAGTGGAATCATCTGGTGGCGTTGGGCGAGATCCTGCCGTTGGCCGAGTCTGATATGGTCATTGAGTCTGGTCGCATTGAGATCTTGGATATCCGGTACTGGAACAATACCAGGTCTCATGCATTCCCAGTACGGCGCTTGGTAGCTCTGAACCTTGGCAAGAACTCTGGCCGCATCCTTGTTGAGCATAGGAATATCCATCTTTGGTGGCGGCTCGCCCATCAAGGTCCGAGCAACGGCCACAGCCGATGTAGAGATAGCCTGCAAGTTGTATCCGCCCTCCAAGCACACAGCAACCTTGCCATCCGCCAAAGACATGAGCATATGAGTCATGTGCGCATAGCATGTCGGTGTCACAAAGCAACCGCCAAGCTCATCTCCAGCGGCAGCATCGAACCCAGCAGATATGACCACCAGGTCGGGACTGAACTCGTTCGCGATGGGCATGATAATTTTTTGGAAAGCAGCCATGTACTCGCCATCTCCCATACCTTGGTCGTGCCATCCAATGTTGATGTTCTTTCCCAGGCCAGGTCCTGTGCCGCAATGCTCTATGCCTCCATCTGGTATTTCTTGATTGTCGGGCTTGCCAGGATAGAAGATTCCGTTCTGGTAGACGTGGAGGGAGATGTAAAGAACATTCGGATCATCGTAGAATATGTTTTGGATGCCGTTGCCGTGATGGACATCCCAGTCCAATATGAGGACCTTCCGACAGTCTTTCGGGTACTCTTGCTGGCAGATCTTAACAGCGACAGGCACGTTGTTGAAGAAGCAGAATCCGAGGGGCTGATCGTACTCTGCGTGATGGCCAGGCGGTCTGATGACGGCAAAAGCATTCTTGACATTACCTTCCACGACATGTTTACAGGTGTCAATGGCGCCACCGCATGATAAGAGGGCTGCCGTGAAAGTGAGACTGCCAACGTAAAGCGAGGCCCGGCCTTGATCATATTGCCGGCTCGTTTCCCGCAACTCGGCGTAGTCCATTTTCGAAAGACCCTCAACCCAGTTGTAGTGCAGTGGAGTGTGAGTGGTGAGAATCTCTTCCTTTGTCGCTTCACGAGTTCCGATTCTCCACATGTACTTGGTCGGAGTATCTCGCATCACGTCGGCCACCTTGCTCTCTGGCCCAGTATAGACCAGGCCGGCCCTCTTAAAGGCTTTGTAGATCTCCTCTATCCGACGAGGGTCTTCTGGGTGGTGTGGTGTTGTGCCAAAGTCGGCATTGACATGGAGTTTCATGCGGTCATCGTAGCAGCATGCTGTCGGCAGAAGACCTCGTCTACGCAGCTGATTAGCAACCTGCTGATCTGAATCATCGTCGTAATCGTCAAAATCGTCCTCATCTTCGTCGTCGGGAGACGTAGAGTTCTCATTCCTAGGATCGCTTTCGGCAGGCGCAGTTACTCCATTGGGCGTAGTCGTGTGGTTTGACGGCCTATCATCTCCTCCCATGATAACGTCTTGGTCGCCGCCTTCCATAGTGCACGGGCGGGCTTTGACTCAACCCCCTCCCAAGGCCTGGGTCAGCCTATCTGGGAGATAATCTAGCCGAAATGGAAATCTCGGAGCAGATAAGAGACGCTTCTGTGGCTTGAAAGCGGAACGTAGCTCGCACCGGCTGGGTGTGCTGTGCGCTCAAGCAGAAGATGGATCCAAGCCTCAGCAAAGCCAGCTAGGACAGGTCAGATAGGAACTTGCTGAGAGAGGTAGTTTGCCAGCTCCTCTCGTGCAAGACACGAGAGTTCGATTCGAATTTATAGATCCACTAAGGGGTTGGGAACCTAATATGCTGTCAGTATGATTGAGAGAGGGTAGAGATGAGGACGAGCGCAAAATGTGTAGCAGGGTAGGTGAGCCAGCTAACTTTCCGACAGCTTGGATAACCAGAAAACTTCGAGAACCTCCTTTAGGTCTATTAAATAAACAACAATTGTATATTTGTGTGGATCTGATAGTTCCGGCCTTCATGCGCCTTCTTTGTTGTCTGGCTCTGACGAACATCAGAGTAATAATGTGAGAAGGCAGGTACGACGCCCCCAGGTTGCGTCTTCCTCACCAGTCCACTTGGCCTGGAAGAATAAGCCGATCGAGCGACCGTCTGCGTACTTATGTATACAAACGAAAGAGGCTAGCCACTCACCTTAGCGACAGAAGTACAATTGCTGCTGTTCGGGGTGGGATCAATCTTGAGATAGGATGAGCCAGGCTGGCCTGGGCTGGCTGTACGTCCCCTCCTGGCGCAAGTCGGGTTACAACTAAGCGCTCTCAAGTCCGGGGCCGAGTACCAGATGTGAAGAGAAGGCCAAAAAACGGGTTCCGGGTAAAGGAGCTTGGAATGCGCCAATACAGTGCGCCGCGCTGATGGAACGAAGCCGTCGTGTAGGACGATTATTAGGTGAGTGGCCGGGTGTGAGTGAGTGAACAAGAGGGAGAGGCGTGGGCCACTGACAAGGTGGGAGCTGGCCACAAGCCGCCGCCGCCTTGCAGGGTGCACCCGCCACAGCAAGACCCCTGTACACCGCAGCCTTGCACTATCTACGTAGTAAGACAGCAAGTTCACAATCCACTCATTAGTTATTCCCATGAGGCAAGTTTAAGCACTTTCAGACCACATTTAACAAACTATCGTCATCTCCTGGCCATGGCATGCCCGTCAATGAGGTCCTACATTGGCTATCGCAACGTGCAAGCATGCCTGCAATGCATGCATCCGGGAACTGCGCTTGTCCATCATAGCTTACAGACGGACTTCGTACACGCAAAATAAAAATAAAAATTGAAAAAACAGAAAAGCAAAGTGACAAATCATGATGAAACCATCGAATTTTATGGTCACTAAGGCTTGATCTATACTATAGATTGATTGACCTGCAAAATTCAACCCACCCTCCAGGGCTCAAGAGCCTTGTCAACCATGGAGGTGATTTCGCTCCGTGAGAGAGCGACCGTCGTCTCCCGGAGGAGCCCAATTCCCCCTTGGCCGCCGGAAAGCCCCTGGCGGTGGGATCGAACCATCGTTACTGCCATCGCGACTGAGGCGCTCATCAACCTTGTCGTCTCCAGTGTCCACAATCCCCCCAGTAGTGCTCAAGTCGGGGGTGTCATACAGCCATGGCCTCTCGTCCGCTGCCGCCTGGACTGCTGCCACAAGGGATTCTTGATCCTGAGAGAAGGCGGGATGCTTGAGGTTTACATCCGTCACCAGTCGCTTCCGGGGATAGTTGAACAGGTTCTCGAAATAAAACATGAGGTCTCCAGGATCTAGTTTGGCATATGTGTCCACAATGCGCTCACGAATGCTGGTCTCGATCATCGTTTCAAGCGGGCTGCTGTTATCGATCTGCGCGTAGCATTAGTATGGCAGTCGTTATTCGTTCTCGCCATGGTACTCACTGGGTCGAGATTCTGCTCCAAGTTTGGATAAATGTAGTGTCGAACAAGATTTTTCATAGACATGAACAGGTCCCTTATTTCCATTAACTCGCATGTCGGGTATAGTCTCATATGGCTGGTCCGGACGTCATTGACAAAGGGTTCCGGTTGACCACTCCGGGGCCGGGGGAGCTCGCCGTGAAAGTAAAAAGCGTATAACCACCAACGATAGAGGGCACGGCGAAGTTTATGTTTTTCAGCTGCGCTGAGTTGGCGGCAATCCTCGGGCGTTGTGAACCAGTGTAGTTGCGGGAATAGCTTCTCCCATCGTCGTGCCACCAGACAGTACTTCAGCAGACGGCCCAAGTCTCGGTCGACAAGAGTGACTGAGCGTGGCGACGGCAAGGAGCTTGTTCTTACAGGTTTTCCGCCATCAGTGAGTTTAGTAAGCGTTGCGTGCTCAGGAAGCCCACTCTGGTTGTGCTGTATACCACCTCGGGACAATGTAACGCCTGTCATATCGCCTGGGAAGCGCCTGAAAACGACCCTTCGCGGCTGGAATGTGTCTCCGTACTTCACAATGTCGTGATCTGATGCAGTAAAGACTTGAAGCAATTCGGGAAAGGGGCTGAACTCTCGTTGAAGAACTGGTAGAAGAATGGCTGCCTTATGTCTCTTCAAAAGCCCATGAAAAAGGGTGTTGACCTGGGCCAAAGAGAAAATGCTTTGAACATCAAGTTGGTGGTAAATGTCAAAAATGATTTCGAGCGGTAAACCTTCGAGGCCGTCAAGCTTGCCCCAGTCGTCATTCGACAAATCCGATTGCATGTGCAAGGCCCCAAAGAGAGATGAGTATTTGGAAGACATCGTGAAAGCAGCAGTGACTGTCTGAAATGATCTATGTGCAGGTTGCAGTAAGGTGCACTAGTAGAGTGATATTAGTAGAGTGATATTAGTATTGCGATCCGTAGGCCGAATCTCGATGTGCGGCTATCAGGGGATATGGGGGTGAACGTTTGGAGCAGCAACTAAGCGTCAACCTCTGAGTTGGTCTTGTTTGCTTCTCGGCAATGAACTCGGACAACTCGTGTCACAGATGCAGACAAACGCCCTTAGCAGCGATAACGATTTCAGTTGATTCTGTCCCAGTTTCAGAACCCCATATCGACGGTTGGTGAATCGCACAACTCACTGGTGGTTTGCAAACATATTGTTTTGGGATGAATCGTCTCGTGTGATTTTGAATACCTCGTCTTTCCGGCTTGAGCTGTTCTGCTTGCTGGTGCGAGGACAGGCCGAGACTGACCAAAAAGCGAGAGCTTATCGTCTAGCGTTGATGTCGTGGAGGACCGCCGATGACCAAGCTTCCGCCGATAATGCCAGATCAAGATTTGGTAAGAGAGCGAGATTGATGATTTCCAAGGCGGGAAAGCCCTTACTAGCCTCACAGATGAACAAAGTCACCAGCGAGGTATGCGGTTGGGAGGTTTACTTTCTGACAACCCCGACGTTGGGGCTATCGAGAATGGCGAAACTGCAGACCGGCATCGTTTGCTCCAAAGACGCAATGTTCGTCAGAATGATCCGGCGATTTCCCCAATGGCCCGCACGTGCTCGACGGACGGGTGCTGAGGATTAGAGCGTTGTCGCAGGAGTGTTGATGTAAAGGGCTCGAAGAGACGGGACGAAAGGATGGACGCGACAGTGACGCATAGAGACATGCACGTCACCCCCAACTGCTGACCTAAGACAATTCAAGCGCTGAAGTCGGTCTGAGAAGTACAACTGGCAATAGATAATTACCTAGGTAGATACCTAGTGGGTTCCTTCCCCCGAACGGCTGGCGTCAGGGGTACAGCATTGCTCGTGGTTGTGTCCAGGGATACCTGAAATTGAGGGGCCAATCATTGCACAACAAAGCTCCAACCACTGGAGATCCATCGCAAACCCGGTACGTACACAGTATCCTAGCAGATACCTGCCGTGATCTCAATAGCTTTGCTTTCTTGACGCTCCTCAGTAGTTTTATTCTCAGGCATGGCACCAAATGATTTGGGCTTGTCTTACGGATAATATTCTAACCGAACAGCGATGGTATTTTCCTATTTAAGTAAACAAAGTCTTGGTATCTAATTCGTCCTTCGCCGCGGGCCGTCCTCCCTTTGACCTAATGCCCAATTCGCCCTTCTTCGCCATTCTCTCAACCTGCTGTTCCACACGCGAAACATGGCGAGTAGCCTTCTTGCGTTTGATGTCGGCACGAATTTGGTTCGGGCTGACGAACTCCTTGCTGTTCCAAAGGAGAGGTCCTCCAAAGGATCCTTCCTGGATCAGAATTGGGGTGGCAGTGAACCTCGGACCGATCTCCAGCAATTTGACATCGGTTTTCTTGCCGGCATGGACTTTGGTGGTTGTCTCATCGGAATTCTCATCGGCTTCCACCTCCTGCACCTGGTACTGACGAATCCAAACCTGCAACAAGAGGATCAGCTTACTACCTCCAGCAAATACAGGAGAAGCGCGAAAGTGAAGAGAAGACATGGAAGACCTGGAACATACCTTTCCATCGAGATAGGAGAATCCAATCACCCTGTCGATAAAAGGCTTTGCTTTCCGCGCACCTTGGGGCACTCCCAGGTTTGCAATGAATGCTTGCTTGATGACTGCCGCCAAGTTAGCTCACTCAATGAAACTACGGATCCTGGCATTGCGTCTTACCTTGAAGGTGGGGGTTCTTCTCGTCATCGAAGGCTGCATCAAAAGAGAGTATTGGGCGCGATCCCTTGAGACAATTACCAGGGAAATTAAGCTCCTCCATCGTATGTACTTTTGGCCGTTAGCCATGTTTTGTGTCAACTCGAAGAGACTTTGATGCTTACTGTTCTGGAGGTGGAATTTGATCGCGGGTCCATTGGGACACTTGGAACCGTCAATTAGAGAACCCAAGAAGGCGGCCGTTCGCAATACTCACGTTTGAAATCCACATGTAAAGATCCTTGGCCTTTCTGGCCTCGAAGTACATGATCCCGTTGCAGTTCATCATTTCCGCAAGCTCGTTAAGAGCTGAAAGGTTGTGCTTATCGTCGAACTAATGAATCGGATTAGAATCGCATGTCTATAGAAAACACTACTGGCTCTTCAAGGCAAATTAGAGCTCGCGGAGTGAGACTGACCTTGCTGTCAAGCTTTCCGTGGGGCATCAGCGTTGCGAGGTCGTTCATCAGGTGTCGGTGTCTGATTACATTCGTCAAGTCAACATAAATTCCAATAGAAAACTCAACAACGGAGAGAACGAGAAACAGGATGTTGTTGATTCCTTACCTGTATGTTACACCTCTGCTGGAGAGGATTAACGTTCGCCTCTTCTGACGGTTCTTTTGTACGCCATTGGCGGGTGCCTCGACCTTGTCGGTCTTTTTCGACAGCGATTTGTACACGGAAGCCATCGCGACGATCGGTTAGTACTCGGTCGAGGGTATTGCGTTGTCGTTCGTGGTTGTTGATCGGTGTCGGAACCGTTTGACGCTGTAGATATGAAGGAAGGTTCGCAGGGGAGCCACTGGACATCCCAACAACGACCTGCGCGCCAGAGATTTTTTTTTTTCCCTTGCCTATACCTGGCGGCAGAACGATGCGATAAGAAGAGCTTATCGGGAGGCGGTGTGGCTTGGTTTGGCGGGGCATGTTGTACCCAGGTACGTATCAAGGGTACCTACCGAACGACCCAGGCCATGTCAGAAGCGGCTCTGAGGGGGTTGTTGTTTCCGGTACAATCCGTGCCCACCACAGAACCCTCAGAGCTCCTAGCGCGGGCTAAGGGGAAAAGAAACTTTGTGGACCGCAAGCAAGCTTGCAGCCCACCCAATTTCGCATTACTGGAGCACAATACCTAAGTTAGCCCCCCAGCGTCAAACTGGTCAGGAGACAATTTCAAAGGAGGGGCCCCCTCAGATTGGATGTCGAGGTTGCTACAAATGCGAAGACTATACTCAGTAGATCTGGTGACACTGGAACAAGAAGCTGAGCAAGAAAGCAGGATTTTATTTTGTTTTGTGATTCATTTGCTCAGAGGAACACCTGTTAAGGCCACAGGTCTGAATGCACCAAGAAAAAGGGTACGTCAGAGCCGGCCCTCGTGGACAGGTTGCATCCAGGGCCAAAGGCGACCGATGATGTGACCCATGTGTTCCACTTAGGATTGTGTCGAGTGTGATTGCCAACGTATATCCTGACGTAGGATATCACTCACCATGCTAGGCACAGCCCTCCCTTATTATGCGCCTCTTTGAGTACTTCTCACATCAGCAAAGCAGCCCAGGAGACCCCCAAGGCATTAAGATGAATTCATTCCAACTACGTAAGCATGGCAGAGCGATCGTCAGAAACGTCAAAGCCCAGACATGCCGCGCTGAGCCGTATAAAGGAGAACAAAGGAAAGGCCGAGACTGTACTCCGTCCCCTCAGAAATCATAAAAAGACTCATTGGATTCCTAGCCGTTCCTCAACTCAACGGCCCCTCCATGACCAGGTGACATACAGATCCCAGAGGCAGATGTGAGACGCCATGATATTGACCGCAGCAGCCCTCCCAAAAGGCTGTGAAAAAGGTGCGCAGAAGGGAGTTTGTCGCTTAACAGCACTTGCCACTCTTCTCTGCGCTGTCGTCCGCAGGCTTGGTGAGCGAAATGCCGGGACCGGCTCCGATTGTGGCTTGGGGTCCGTCACCCGAATCGAGGGCCTTGCTTGATACGATTCGGTAGATCTCTGTTAGAGCACAGGTCAAGTTAGCGCAAGAACATTGTTAGGGGTGGGAGGGTTTGCCGGCGATTTGCGAAGGTGGGAGGCGAAACGCACCGGTCAGGATGTTCTGGAAGGCGAGCTCGACATTGCTGGCGTCGAGGGCAGATGTCTCAATGAATGAGAGGTGGTTCTCGCCTAAATGACAGGTCAGCCGACTCAGTGTCCGCTGAGCTTCCCTTGCCCCTTCACCGCAACGTACTGGCGAAAGCCTTGGCCTCCTCTGTGGGCACCGCTCGTAGGTGGCGCAAATCGCTCTTGTTTCCGACCAGCATAATGACGATATTGGCATCAGCGTGGTCCCGCAGTTCCTTCAGCCATCTGGTGACGTTCTCGTATGTTTGGTGCTTGCTGATGTCGTAGACGAGGAGGGCGCCGACAGCTCCTCTGTAGTAGGCCGAGGTGATGGCGCGGTAGCGCTCCTGGCCGGCGGTATCCCAAATCTGCGCCTTGATCGTCTTAGAGTCGACTTGGATGGATCTAGTGGCGAACTCGACACCAATCGTCGACTTGGAGTCGAGGTTGAACTCATTGCGGGTGAATCGACTGAGAAGGTTGGACTTTCCGACGCCCGAGTCTCCAATCAACACCACTAAAATAACACGGAAAGTCAGCTCGTGCCCAGGCAGCGCTGTAATCTCTCATCGCAAGATCGGTTGTCGTCGGCGCACCTTTAAAGAGGAACTATGGAAGTCGTCAGGTTAGCGCAAGGAGGGGGACATAATTGGAGAGGGAGAGGGGCGGGTCAGAGAGGTCCAAGGGAGTTGGACGATTGCAGGTGGAGGACTCACGTCATATTCGTCGTTGGCCATGTTGTCGGTTTAAATTGAAATGGGATGGACGAGTGTTGGGGCAGGTTTTGGGTCGTTGGTGTTGCAAAGCGAGGATACTGCGGCTCGATGGAGGTGTGCGCGGCCCCGAGAGATGAAGCAGTTGAGTTGAGGCGAGGCAAGGTGTAAGAGTCTGGAACTGAACCAGACTGAGAGAGGTGGAGAGCGTAGGTAAAGCCAGCGCGGGCGCAGTGTGGGTGGTGGTATGTGTGGGTGAGGCAGCAGTCGGCGCAGCTTTGAACTACCTACCAATTAGGTAGGCCACAAATATTCGCTGGAGGAGCAGCCACACAGGGAAAGGGGTAGGGAGTGTATCTGCCTAGGCAGGTGGGCGTAGGAGGGGTACCAGTTCAGAGGGCCTCCTCCGTCAATGATGTTGTTACAAAGCGTTCATCAACAGTGGGGTTCTCACTCCAGCGCGCATGGATGGCACAGAATACGGGCTACAACACACCAACACAGGAAAAGGTACCTTGTTCCAATGACTGGCGCAAAAACAATACACTACTTGGATCTCATCATGCCTTCGATCGACTGAGACTCCCTGCCCACTCCAACGTCGAAGGGGGTGCTGCTCCACGTTCCGAAAGTGCTGAACCCGCTGAGCCACACCATCACGGAACACGCACCAACCACACTCGTCACTTCAGTGTCTCTCTCGTATACCTTAGGGACCTGGTTGGAAGAAACACCAGTGACTCAGGAAGACGAGGTGAGCAATGAAGGCCACGGATGGGATCGCCGCCGTCGGCACGCGGAACTGTCGTGTTTCGTCTCGGTGATCACGTGCACCCTGTCCTGGAACAGACGGAAAACACCTCCCCGTCCTTCACTTCGTTTGACCTACCTAGGTTGAGAACGTCCGCGCTTGCCAGGGAAGCTTTTAGCTAGGGCCTTTTTTCTCCCGGCTCGTAACCCAGGTCCGTTCCAGCGTTGTCTGCATGCTGATGTCCGTTGCAGGCGTTTGCTCTGGTGTGTAAGTCACCTACAGCGACGGGGCAGCTGTAGACGTCAGACCTGAATGCGACTGTCGTAAGGCCTCGATTCCCTTGAAGATGCAAAGAGAGCACATGTACTGTATTGATATAGATCCTCAAACCTAGCCAAATATGGTCAAGAACGGCTATGGAAATATGAGGTAAACGTAAGATGGGCAAGGTTGCCAAATGATACTGGGATGAGGCAGCACAACCGTTTCTAATGTAGGTAGTGTATCCGTACCTGTATGTAGGTAAGTTGGGGCCTGGCTTGAAGAATGATGTTAGATAGCGGTGGTGCCTTACCTGCGCAGGTCTTCCTTTGGCGGCTAAGTCCTTCTTTCTCTCCGTTTGATCAGGGTACCCTCCTCGAGTGCACGGACGCACAATTAGCGTTAGTAGGTAAACCACCACCCGAGGCGGGAAAAAACTTGGCACACTTCAATCTAGATTCAATGCTGGCCAGGTTACAATAAGTAATTGACTAGGAAGGAAAATGTACTCAATGGTAGGAAAAAAAGCCTTGCATTGGTTTTTTTATGGTAGTGTTTATCTGATAAATGTTGAATTGCTTGTTGACACACTACTAGTATCTTAGTGAGACCAAAACAAAACGAAACAAAACAAGCGCCAAAGGTGTCCCCTTGTGTGGTCAGTACTTACCCTAGTGTCTTCCAGAGAAGCTCCCGACATTGCTAAACATTTCATAGGTTTGGCTATCTCCACTCACCTGTCAAGAAGAGCTTCATGCACTTTACCTACCTAGGTAACCAGAGGTTCTCACTTATTCCACCAGCAACAACACCTCTGTCTACTTTTGCGACCGCATTTGTACTTGGTGCGTCTTGTTCCATAAATGCGTTATACAACTTCCTCGACTCTTCGGTCTTCTCTCACTTGTGTGACCTTTTGAGGGCGCGCTTTACTAACTAAGATCCCAAGTGCTCATCACTCGCATTGGCCCCGCTGTTCAGGTCGGCCTCTAGATATACACCCTGGAGCATGGGCATCAGAAACTGAGCCCGCCATGGATGCATCTGGCTTGGTCGTAATGGACGATGCTCCTTCAGACGATGATGCCATCTCCATCAACTCTACCCTACTATCCGAACATGATTCAGATGAGGAATGGTTGGTCGAAGGTATCCACGCCCAAACTCGCGAGGATGGAACGGACAGATACCTGGTCGAATGGACCGGCTATCCCATCGAGGAAGCCACGTGGGAGCCCAAAGAGAACATGACGGATGAGCTGCTTCTGGAGTGGAGAGACACAAAGGCAAGACAAGCTCGAGGCGAGGTGGAGCCTTTTGACGTTGCCGCCTGGGAAGAAGCCGTGAACAAGCGCCAAGAGGACAAATATCAACGGCACCATGAGCGTAACATTAAGCGGAAGCGACGTGGCCTGCAGCTCAAGCTATGGGAGGGCGAAACCGAAGCGGACTACTACCTCAGCGACGAAGACATTGGACAAAACGACTTCAACGACGTCCTCCCGCCTCCGAAATATGTTGAGCGACAAGAAAACGCGGTCCTTTCCGATGAAAGAGGAGAGAGACGGTCGGAGAAGTCGCCGAAACTGGCCGCCGTAGAAAAGCCAGCCCCCCAGAAACAGACCACGATGTCAGACAAGACGACAGGGAAGATGACGGAGAAGCCCAAGTCGTCGTCGTCGAAGAGAAAGGCTTCCCCGTCTATCTCACAGCCACGCCCACAGCCGTCCTCTGATGCCTCAACAATGAAAGGGCATCAGGGAACAGCGAAACGGCCCGTAATAAGCAAGTCTACAACCAAGGCTGCCACCGCAGCACCCACGCAGCATAAAGCTAGGAAGACCACCGTCAGCTCGAGGACGATGCTCGAGTCACAAAACAGCGGGACGGGCATCAACGTCTTTGCCGCCGGCAAGCAAATCAAGCAACGTCGTTCACTGGTGCAGAACGCGACGGATTCAACCAAAGGCCCTCGGATGTTTTCAAACCATCGAATAAGACGAAAGGTCGAATTGCAAAGCCGCGATAAGGCAGACACTGTGCCTGGCCCTGTCCCAACCAAGCTATTCAGAATCAGTAGCGGCCCCCCTGCTGGCTCGAGTTCAGGGACATTGAATGTCGTCCCTCGCTCTGCCCTGAAACATTCGGCCGACGGCCATATGGCGAGGTCCGCCAGCGAGTCCAGTGTTGCTTTCTCAGAGGTAGCGGACTCGACGCTTCCTGAAATGTCAGAGTCACAGCCCTCACGGCCCATGGTCAGGAAAAGGAAGTCTGTTCAGTTTGCAGACTTGCCTCTTGTCGATGAGCCAGAGGTTGTTGATGAGATTCACCCGAAACGTCTCAAATCGCCTCCTATGCCACCAGACCCGTCTCCGCCATCTCTTTCATCCCAAAAGCCCCAGCCCGTTCTTCGCAAGCTATCAATAACACAGTATCAGTCGAGAAGCGTGGGCCGGAGTTTTGACAAAGCTATTATACTGGGACCGTCAGGAACCAAGGACATCCAGATGACGTTCGAGAACGTCAGGCCTGATACTGATTCGTGGCATTCACAGTTTGTCAACAAGGATTCGCTATGTTTCAGCAGAATTTTCACTGCCCGTACTTTCGACAGCCAAAAAATATCTCTTGTAGAACGATGTCTATCGCACGGCAGTATCAGGCCCAAGATGCCGCATGACCAAGAACCAGTCGACAGAGCTGCCAAACGGCTACGACTTGGGTTTTTTGGGGCGGCCTGTTTCTACGAAGACTTTCTCGTTATCATCTACCCCGCCGATTGCGAGGAATGGAAAAAGGTCATGGCTGAAGTCGAAGTCGCGAGCCTCGTAAACGCCACGCTGCGATATGCTATATTCAAGCCGCAGCCGGTTGCCATGATGCCCTTACCGATTATGAAGACTATCCCCTCAAGCTCGATAGAACCGCGGACCGCAATATTTCGGGATCTTCTCCATCTCGATTATCGCCAACTTCTGCCTCCCAAAGTCGTAGATGGACACCACAACTTCTACTTGGCATTTCCCCCGTCTAGGGAGCTCTTGCTTGATGCTGTGAGCGAGTGGCTTCATGCAGAAAATCCTACGTGCAGGGTATTTTCCACCAAGACAATGGGTGACTGGGCCGCTTTTACGAACCCAAAGATAGTTGCGCAAGGAGTCATCATTGTCCACGAGACAGCCACCGACACTCTCCGGCGCTTTCCTGGCCTGCTCAAGCTACTCCTCCACAGTAACAGTGCGACTTACTGGTTCTGGTGCATTGGAGAGTCGCTTCAGCAGCATCCCCTGTATCCATCTATCCGCTCTACGCACCGCAAGGCAGCACCTGGCACAATCGAGTTGACGAGGCTTTTCCCTCATGGAAACGCAATTCTGGTTACGCCCAGCTTTTTGGTATCTGAGCCACGCCGTTCTCTCCAGCTTTTCGAGTGGTACAAAAATACCCATAAGAAGCCCTACAACAACCACAAGATCGTGGCCGCTGCAAATATTGCTCAATACCTGCGAGACCTTGCATTTGAGAGATCCAGTCATCGTAATGCGCTGTTAGTAGAGGCAGAGAGGGCACCCCGGCTGTATAAATCCTCAGAACCAAGAAAGATAGAGACGAAGGCGGGCCTTGACCAGGAAGAATGTGCAGCTCGCTTTGAAACTTGGGCTATCGTTGACGGACTCCGGCCGTCTGTTCAGACCAAAATTGTGCCAGACGAGCAGCTCGAGCCCATTATCTTTGTTGATGAGTTCATCGACGCCAACGATGAGCAAAGTCTCGTGAATTGGTTTGGCTGTTGGTCCCAGACACGATTCGACCAGTTCCGAAAGTTCCATGTTCTAGGCACCGATGGTAGCTCCAACAACATTCATTTCATCAAAGATCGCGACATCCCTCTCTATCCCCCGGATGCAGCGCGTGACCCAGGAGCCGAGATAAACGGCAGCGCTCATCGCTTGGATTCGGCTGTAAGCGATCTTGGCACTATACATGAATCTCAAGACAACGCAACCAAAATTTTTGGGGGGTTAGCTGCTCACACATTCAAAAGTAAGTTGATGGAACTGGGTAAGGAATGTGAGAGTCCCAGGATCTGCGCGTTTGGCAAATTGTACGGCCTTCCTGTTTCTTATTACAAAGACATTGTCAATACGGCCGACTCCTACCAGGATAGCCGTCGGGGGTTTTCAACGTTCGACAGGTGGATAGAGTTCCCCTGGCCATTCTTCTCCCTTTACCAACCAGACTTCCGAGTCCCGAACGAAGTGCGTGGGCCGACCGTCTTCAACACGTACTTCGCTTTCTTTTATACTCCCGACGAAGACTCCCAGAGCAAACCGCCCGCACGCCACCCGTGGTTCGCCATTTGGCGAGTTCGGGCACCACATATTAAGCCGTGGGAGGGTACAGAGCTTCTCATCTGGGACATTGCGGCCAAGGAACGCTTTCCGGCGGTAACTCAGCTCCACGAGTCCCAGCTCATCCCGGCTCAGCAGCACCTAATTAACTTGGTACGGGAAAAAGGAGTAACCAAGCAGCGAGGTCTTGACCTGAAGCAGGTCTGGCTCGGAGGCTTTGAATCGGCGCCCACCGAGTACACCTCACCGATCGATGTCACTTTTGCCAACCTGGAGGCCATGATGAGGGATGTTAAGGGATATCTTCCTGCGGTCGAACATCACCTTGCCTCTAAGGGCTTCCGCAAAGTCTATGCTGGCACAGCACCTGCACCAAAAGGATCCATTGCTTCAGATGCAGCGGGCATCGATCGTATCAGCCGTCTCCAGAACCATGGTGGTGACACCAAGATCATCTTCCATCCGCCCCGCGCGTATAGACCTATCCGGAAGAGCCGATACGAGAATTTGTTCTATAAGTGGGTGGTGAACCTTGAAAAACAACATCAGCGTGAGGCGTACCCTTACACGTTCAAGCCTACCGTGGACTGGTACCAGGAGCAGCAGGTGGCTGAGGGCCGACACTTTGAGCACGTCAATGTCTCTTCCTGGAAGCGCATCTTCGAGCTGGTACGAATTACAGCCGATGTCGGGAACAAGAGGGGGGCGGATACGGTAGAGAAGGGCCAAGACTGAAGTTAGAGATTGCTTTTGTACATACCGGCAGGACATGTACACTTGTGACGGAGAGATAAGACGAACCTTTGCGATGGACGCGCATGAGATGGCTCGGGACGCTCGTGGACCCGAGTGTGTTGGTTTAAACTTATACCATACTGTAGTAAGCGTGGCATACAAGAATGCGTCACTACGACATTTGGCACAAATGAATTGAAGAGCTTCGAATATATTTGAGAGCTTCTGATCTGACTGCATGTGAACTTGCAAGACTACTAGTTCTGCAACATGGAACGAGCAGCCACCAGGTCAGAAATACTGTGACTGTTTTCGAGGTAAGTTTGCAAGATTCCCCACGCAGGAAACGAGGGCTTTTGCCTGGAAACGTAAAACAGGTGTACAAAAAGAACAAGCGCAGCGATGAGAACCAGAGAGGCAGTTAAACTAGCCGCTTTTCCCTGATCAGAGGGTCCTTGCTGTGTCCCTCGGCCTATTTGGCCGTTCTTCCCGTCCGGTGTTGATAATAAAGAGGACAATTTCTAGTACAAGCTAACCCCCAGTACTCTGTTGGTAAACCCCTCCCCCCTAAAAAAAAAGTGGGGGGAAGGCGGCAAGTGGCCAGCACAAGTATCTAGTGCACTGGTGTCTCCTCGAGCAGGTATGCAACCCGGCAAGAGCATGTGGTCCAAGGAAGTGAAGTCATTTATTGCCGTTAGTCATTCATTGTATGGTACAAACAAATCCTTTTGTCAATATACAACCGTTGCATGAGCCCGCTGCTTCCAAGCCAAGAGAGCTCTGCCTCCACCAGGGCATCACCTCGGCGAGGCAGGGAAATTCCTTGTGCTGAGCAGGACGCCCTTGACCCTCCGGATGTTATCCCTCGCCTTCTTGATCTCGTCCTCGGGCTCGTTCTTGCGCGGGCCGCCGTAGAGCGAGTAGCTGCCATAGTCCTGCGGACTCGGATACGCCAGCTGCACGAGGTCGTCCTTGAGCACGTCCATCCTGGACTTCAGGTCTGCGAGGTCCTCAGCGTCCGAGACGACCGTCGTCTTGAGCAGGTCCGCCGAGCTCTTGAGCCGCGCGAGCTTGTCGGCCTGCCAGTCGCTCGCGGACCTATTCCTGTGCTCCACCGCCGTCCCCATCATCCCGAAGCCGGGCTCGCCGAGCCTGGGCGTCGGGGGGACCGAGGTCTGCGTGCCGATGTCGCGGTGGAACATCTCGGTCGGGTCGTCGGCGCTGGAGCTGCTCACATCGTCCCTGTACGCCTCTCCGTGCCCGGCGGTCGCCTTGGGGGCGGGGACCTCCGAGACGGCGCCCTCGAGCTTCTCGATGATCTTGGCGAGGTTCTTAGACGTGGTGTCGTGGAGGTCACAGCGCGCTTCGGTGAGGGTTTCGACCATGGGCGCCACGACGTACTTACTCGTGCCGTAGAGGAGGGTGGAGAGGCCGGCGAAGGCACAGAGTGTGTTAAGGATTCCATTGGCGGTGACCAAGGGCGGCGGACGGGTCGACTTCGTGAGGAACTCGGGGTAGGTTACGACGGGGGGCTGGTCTATTTGGCGCGGGATAGAGACCTCGTTGTTAGGCGGTGGTGTCGGTACTTCTTGTGATTTGGGTGTCGTTGCCGTTACTTGTGTTGAGCTTGCCGATGCTCGTTCTGTTTGGGTAGTCTAGTAGTATCCTGTCAGTCATGAGCAGCGCATGCCATGGGCGGGGCAGAGAGACCAACGTCGTGTGCTGGTTCGGGTACCGAGCTGCCCAACAACTGCTCTATATCTGTAGAAGAGATTCCCTTGGTCTTGAGAAATGCCTCCTTTGCCTCCCTCGGCGCGTCTTTGATCTCGTCGTCTTGCAGAAACTTGCGAGCGATTTCGATGCTGTTCTCTCTGGGGGGCTCGTTCGGTACAGCATCCTGTGATGGCTGTTGGGTCTGCGGCTCGAGTTCGGCATCCGTCTTTTGGTCACGCTGCCATTCTGGGATGCCGGGCGTGCTCTTGTTGTCGTCGGAGTCGCTCATGACTGCGCCTATGATTTTGGGGAACCTGAAAGGGCTTTCTTGAGGAAAAGATGTCAAGACGCGCGCAATACTGCGACGATGTTGAGCCGGACGTAGAGTTCGAAGGTGTGTGTGTTGATGGTCGGCGGTTCGGCACCTATGAGCACATGCCTCGGCTGTTGCGGTAACGGAAGAGCTGGACGTTCATGACGGTGCTGGTACAGGGGCGACGGTGCGCTACCTAATACCTAGGTACCTACCATTGTCGTTTTCTTTTTTCTTTGGCTGGCCTGCTTTTGCGGTGGGAAGTGGAACCACACAATGCACGGTGCCCATGGCGACCAGCAGGGACGGGGCTCCGTTTTCGACATCCGGCGCTTCTAGTGGACTTCAGTGGCTGTTGGAAGAGAGAAAGGCTGAACCCAAAGTGAAGATCAACCGTAGTCCAACTGGATGGTTTAACAGCATCTCATTGAGCACCACCTCAGCTGTCCGCAGTCGCCCAAGTCATCCATCTTCCCGTCGCTGATTCGAAGCACTCTTTGACAAGGCCCCCCCCTTCTGTTTCAAGCGACCGCAGCGCCTTCATCGGAACCATCTGATTCGCTCGCTCACCCATCGACGACGATCTCTGACTATTTGTTGCCTTCGCCGACCTGAACGTTGCCCGCAAACCAGGGGGGGTTCCAGGTAAGATCTCTCAGTTTAATTGCCCGCTTCGAGTTGATGGGAAATGTGTCTCCAGTTGAATCGCTAAGCAGGGAAAACTAGGACGCAGAACAAAGCAGCGCGCGCCGGACACGGAGAGCAAGGGTTTTTAGCAAAGACGCGGAAGAGAGACATAGAAGGCGACACGCGTGAGAGCTGACGAGATCCAACCATTCCCAAGTCTCACTCCAGGGGGTCGTCTCTACTTTTTTCTTTATTTTTTATCGCCCACGCCCACGTCCACCAGTTTGGCTTGGCTAAAGCCACCAATCTATCCTCCCAGGAACCTTGCCGTGTGCTTGGATCCAGTTGTGAGGCGATAGGCCAACAAGGAAAGCATCACACCTGCCGTTCGTTGCCTTCGCGCGCGTCCCTCTCGCTGCTGCGGCTAGCCGTCATCTATCACTCCAGGAGTATATCAGTCGGTAAGCTCAGATGCGACCTTCTCTTTTAGCTTTTGCTTCCGTTCTCGACCCTCCCCCCTACTGCACCTTATCATCATTGCCCTCATCCTTATCCTCGGCGGTGTCTCTTCGTTGTATATCAGCCATCGTATCCGGTTACCTGCGCCGAGTCAAGTGAGGCAAGCAGTAACTTCTGGTTTGCGGATCAACATCTCTGAGCGGAAAGAGGCTGGATCGGCCGCTGTGCATGTCGCAAATCCAGATCCAGTTTGGTTCGGCCGGAGAAAGTTGAAAGTAGACGCGTGTTGAGAAACCGAACGCCAGGAACAAACGGAAAAAAATAGAGTGCCTGCACGTGTGTGCGACTCATTAAAAAAGGAAGAGGCGTAAAGCCTACCTACCTTGGCGTGCAACTTACCATCCATCTCCGGCCGACTACATTGCCTTACCTCATCTCTCTGTGTCTAGGGATCAGATTCCTTAGCAGCAGTGCCCCTTTCCCCTACCTTGTCTGCCCGGCCCCCCGAACTTACCTTAATTCAACCTCCCACGTCCAACATTGAACCAAAAAAAACCCAAAAAAACTCTCCGCCGTTATTCAAAACAAGCTCCCAAACCTTTTCACCCAAGACATCATCCGGCAATAAATCGCACCCGTGGAATTGACTCTCGCGACGTCGCTGCCAAGCCAACCCGCGAGAGACCACGTTCCCTCGATAACCCCCCCCCCACAATGGCTTCCCGGCCTCGCCGTTCGGCGGCCAAGAAGGCCCAAGAGCAGATTACTGACTGGGCCGACAGCGAGCGAAACAGCAGCATGTCAACCCGTACTCGCCGCTCAGAGGGCCGCACCTCAGGTGTTTCCCGCGGCCCGCCGTCTTCTCCCGGAAGCGAGCACCTGAATCTCACTGTCAAGGTGCCAGCCAACAAGCTTCGTGAAGCCACCAGCAGGGGAAGGAACTCGACGGGGAACAGCATCTCAGTTAATAGCAGGGTCTCATATGGTAGTGAGATTGTCGCCGGCAGACGCAACCGTGGTCCCAAGAAGAGCTACGTTGTTGAGTCTGATAGCGATGAGGAAGATGATGACGACGAGATGGAGGAGCCTGATGCCGATGCCGACGAGGTTGACATGGATGTCGATGCTGAGGGCGAAGAGGAAGACGCTGATGGTGACATTGACATGGACACCCCTGCTGCTGCCACCATCAAGATTTCTTTGCCCAAGGCCGGTAAAGTTGCTCCTCGGCGACCGGCAGCAGCAAGGGTCATCGAGGATGATGACGATGACGAGGAGGAGCTCAGTGAAATTGAAGTCAGTGACCCCGAGAACACGATGAACATGAGCATCGATGTGGGGGGTGCGGGCGATGATGAGGACGACGAGGACGATGACGAGGACGAGGAGGACGCCGAAGGCGAAGAGGAAGATGCCGAGGGCGAGGAAGACGACGCTGAAGGCGAGGAGGAAGAGATTGAGGTCGCCGATGAGACGGCGCAGCCGGATGCTGAGGGCGAAGAGCTTGACAGTGAACTCGGCAGTCGCGAAGGAACTCCTGACTTGACAAAGATGACAAGGAGGCAACGTGCCCGCTTCGAGGATGAGCCACAGCAGTACATGAAGCTTTCGGATGGTAAGTCTTGCAACGAATCCGAGGTGTGCTTGGATGGGCCCTGCGCTAATGATAGCGATCCCAGAGGTTCAAGCGAAGAAGGTGTTCACAGCGGAAGAGCTGTCGATGAGAAGGCTTGAGATGGCCCGTCGACGACGAAACTTGTCCGACAAGCGCAACGAAGAAGTCAAGGCAAGTAACTTTCGGCGGTGGAGTCGCTAGTCGGACGTACACTAACACGAACGTAGATGGAAACCATCAACAAACTGCTGAAGAAGCAGGCCCCTAAGACCAAGGGCAAAGGCGTCGGCGATGACACGCCCAGCAGCGAGTCGCAGAAGCCTGACGTCGCGTTTGTCCGCTGGGTTAACTCCAAGAAGGGCAGCGTGGTTGCAGTGCCGGAGGAGATGCTCGGAGGACCGACAGGCAAGGTATTTGTGCCCGGGGGTCTGAAATCCGGCAAGATGGTGGAGGAGGTTGCATAGTCGGGTTGATGGGCATGGGGATCTGCCAGAAAGGGTATGATACCCTCCCTACCAGAAAAGTCACAATGAAGAAGCACCTTGTAGTGAGCGACGCTCGGTATTGTTGTACAGAACACAAGGTCAGCTTGAACCGGTGTCATTTATTTGGGTCTAGAGATTTTGTTTAATGGCATGAGCACCATATACTATTTGATGCGTTTTACTTCGTCGCCAGACCTACAAGGGTTGGACGTTTGAGGCTACGAGCGGCACGTCGCTCAAGGGGACGAAAACAGCCTGACATTGAGCCTCAGGGCCGACCGGTTGTCCTTCTGTGACTTCAGCGCTCAGCATGAGGACGTGAAGGAGGACGTGGATGAGTTTGTGAGGTGATGTGATGATCAGCGGGTGACGATCTTCACCACATCTGCGGGCAGCGGGTGATGTTAGGTAATCAGTCAGACCCGTCCGTGGTGGGTTGAAACCCCTGCAGAGGCGAATGGGGGTCATGTGGTCACCCGCCCCCAATGGAGTCGAAGCTTTTCCCATCCGATCAGTCTGTCTCCGCATTTCTTTTGCGCAACTCCAAGGCTGTTGTAGATGAACCCTCGTCCGTTGGTTGATAGAGAGGGGGGACAGAGAAGGTTTGGGACGGACGCGAGAGGAAACATCAGCCAAGATTTCTCGCAAGACCGACGAGTGTTGGATGACCAAGAACAGTCGCGATGGTCATCTTTTGAAGCTTCAGGCTGCTTTGGCAGTCAAACCCGAGGATCCCCTCAACGTTTGTCATCACCCGGGGCTGACTGCTGCCAATATGTGTGAGTGGTGCGATGTCGACGCGTCGCCTTTGAATTGGGGTTTTCTGTCTCGGTCTTGAGTATTGTTTTGTAGTCAGAGGGGAAAGAAGCCAGATTCGGCAGACGATCTTCTGGAAGAACACAGATCTTGGCCGTTGAGCTCATCGGCGAATGAGCTCTCTCGTCTTGTCCGCTGGGGAAAAGCTTTTCGTCGTGGTTAAGGCCTCTCTTGGCTATGATTGACCGTCCTGCTTTCTGCTCCTGTCAGCATCTGACACGCCCAACGAAAAACGCGGGCCCTGCACGTACAAGCAGATGCTCAGTGTATCATTCGTCACTGAATCCCCAGACCGACTAGGTACCTAGGTTGGACTGTGCACCGAAGAAACGAAGAAAAAGCCCTTCCCCGCCGAGGAGCCTACTAACCCCCGGATCTGCTCCTGTCGTTAGCCGGGCAGTCAGGCAAAGAACCCGAGGAACGGCAGCACCAGCACGCTAAGGGGGGAAGCAAGTAGCTTGGCAAACTCGGTCATGGAGGAGGCAAGCACAATGTCGGCATGCTGCAGCTCGCCGGAAACCATCTGGAGCAAGACAGTCATGTCAAAGAACTTGGGCGCAACAAGTGCTGACAGGGCCATTGTCTGTGCAAGACAACCAATGGCACTATTGGCGGTTGACGAGCTTCTAGCTCTGGACCTGCCTCAAGCATCCACCGAAGCATCTTTCCTCAAACTTAAAGCACTTAAAACGACAACGACAACGCGATATGCCAGGGCACGGGAACCACCTCGTGTATCCGTACATGGTACAGTACTTGGAGGCCAAACTCTCTTCGTGCATTCGGCTGGTAGATAGTGGGCTCTTCCGGTGGCTTCTGCCAGTCTCCCTTACACTACCTATGGGTGTACGTACATAGACAGTACCTATTTTGTACCTCGGCCAGCGAAGACAGACAGACAGACAGCATCTGCGATTGGGAACAACATGCCCGCCACCAGCCAGGCGCACTCCTGCGGACCTTGGTCGATAGAAGGACATTGCTCAACTGACTTTCCGAATGTGGCATCGCTGAAAAAGGGTGCCGGTTTTATGCGCAGCCGCCGAGAGGGCATATCCCGACTGCAAGTGACTGACTGCGAGTGACATTGGCGAACTGAGGTCACTCGCTCCTAGGTGAACCCCTGTCCACCTTTTGCATTTTTGATGGTGGGGAGGAACACACCAGGCCCTGGCGGGCTTGTGCTCTGTGCTCCAACTACTATTACTTAGCGTAAGCCGCAGAAAATAGAGCCAGAATTGCCTTTGGGTTTTTCGCCTCCAACTTTTCTTGCCTTGCCGGATGGATGGACCCTTGGCCTGCTTCCCCTCGTCCTCCCACCCTCTTCCTCTCCCCGACTAAGTATCGTACATACTGACCGATATCTACCTGGTGCCACGACTCGCTTGCCTCCGCTATACAATATAAGCCATGGCGTTACCTCCGCCGGTTGACGTGCCGGGCCAGCATGATTGCCCTCCTCCGCCTCTAGCTGCTACTGCACATCTCGCCCCCGGCGACGAAGCCACCGCCCATCCATCAAACCAAGGTAAGTTGACGACGCTAAGCCAAGCTTGCCTTGTCGCTTTTGCCTCCTCTTCCTCTTCTTTCATCTAGACATCTCTTTCGACGCTCGTCCGCCACACTTTGGTCAAGTGCCTGTTGCCGCCTGGCGGTACCCTTCTCCATCCTCTCCACCTTTCCCCCCTCCCACTCTCATATGGATCTTCCTATTTGCTCTCAATATGGAAAGGGGACATACAAAAAACGAGATAGAGAAAAAGGTTCTGGACCGTCTTAGCCTGCCTCCCCCCCTCGAAACTCCATTCCACGATGCCCAAAAGTGGCGCGCACTACCACATAAACCTCCTACTTCTCCGCATTTCTTCTCTTACCCTGGACACAATGTACATTGCATGACCAAAGGGCGTTGCGTTGCGTTGCACAAGAAGCACCACCGCTCACTACCTATTTCCGTACCTCTGTAAGCTATTTTCATGACAGTATTTGGATACTGACAGCCCAGCCCCCTTGGAAACCACTATCAGGCCACTCGCGGCTGCGGCCACAACCCCAGACCCTGTCGCGGATCCTGACACCGGCGCGCCCCAGTTACAGCTCCATCACACTCACCCGCACCCGCATTCGCATAACCAGCCCACCCCGCACGCGACCGCGACTGCGACTGCCACCGCTGCTACTCCAACTTTGGCTAATACCGCCCCGGCCACCCTGCCCGAGGCTTCACTTGCACATCGTATAAAGACATCTCCCGGGCCCTCCCTGGAGCCCTCCCATATGTCCCCTCTTGCTGCCTCTCCTTCGTCTGCCGCGTCCTTTGCCAAACTCCCGCCAAAGACAAACCCCTCCTCCTCATCGACTTCCAAGATGCTGTTCTCAGAGATATACAAATCACCTCGCTCGCCGCTATCCAAATTCCGCCTGTCCATGTCACAGCAGCCTCTGACCCTGGACCTGCCTGACTACGAACCCGATTTGCTTAGCAGGGACAAGCTCAAGCAAAAGGAAGCCGTCAAGAAGTACCTGGCCGCCAAGGTTCGCAACGACTGGGAGTTTGTTTGGCCTCCAGTCGCCTCCTGCCCGCAAAACGATCACGTACTACCCGCTGCCGATGCGCCGCCCGAAGGAGGAGGTGTAGATCAGTTGCAGCAAGAAACCTCTGATCCTCGAGCCGAGGCGGCAGCGGCAACCTCACAAGACGAGGCTGTAGGGTCGATGGAAAGCGACGAGGACGACGAGGAAGAGGAAGACAGCGACGCCGACTCGGTGTACAGTACTGTCTCCGAGGACATAGCCCGCTTCAAGCCTCGTTTGGAATGGGTGTCTGACTTGTCCGATGAGGAACCGCCCGTGTCGCTCTCCCCATTCCGCTTCGATAGCCCCGACGCGATTGGCGCAGCTGTGAAGGCATCTGTGGCAGACAAGCGTGCGCGGAGGAGGCGAGCCATTCGCGAGGAGATGGCATGGAACGAAGGTCTGGCCTGCTTCGAGGCAAGACGCAATGCCTGGACAGGTGCCAGGACAGTGCGGGTGCGCACCAAACCCGTCTCCCCAACGCAGACTTTCTCCCCACTATCCCCTCGCCGTCTGTTCTTCCGTACTTCCTTTTCCTCGGGCCAACCCTCGCCACCGCCGCCTTTGCATTCCTTGCAGCAACGGCCCAGTAACGAGGCCTCCACCGCCGTGTCGGACGGCTCCGACCTCTCCAAAGACCCGTCCAAGGAACTCACGGCCCAAAAGTCCAAGGAATCCCACAAGTCAGCCGCATCCCCCACGTCGACGACGTACCCCATCGAGACCATTGTACCCCTCTCTGCGCCACTCCTCCCGCCAGGCAACCCAATGCGCGCCTCCATTACCCCAGCTGTATATATGTCGCTGTATGAGAAGGTAATAGTGCATGCCCTCACACCATCGTGCCCTGTCAACTTGTCAGACATGATCCGGGCATGCGTGGTGGGTTGGAAGCGGGACGGCGAGTGGCCGCCAAGGCCCTCAGCCGCAGAGCCCGGCATCGTGGCCGTGCGGCGTAAGAAGAAGTCAGCGACGGAAGGCCAGGGTCAGAATCCTGCTCGTAGGATGAGTTTTGGTTTTCTGGGCAGAGGCGAGAAGGCAGACAACCACGATGAGAGTGCTGGGAAGGGCATTAGGAAAAGCCTGCAAAGAGTCCTCGGCATCGGACACCATCCTGCCTCGGCTGCCCCTGCAGCTGGGAACAATGGCCCCGCAGCGAGCGGGAAAGACGCGGCCATTTCCTGAGCCTTGATATGATGAAAGAACACGAGTATGGTACAGAAGGGAATTAATACGTGTGTAAACCTTGGCAGACGGGAAGGGGGGAGCCTCCCCCCTTGGGTATCTTGTTGGAAAAGGGATGAGAACGGGCCTTTTGATCAAGTTGTATGGAACAAGAGACTACGCGGGACGGGAAGGTTCTTCTTGTGACGCTGATACCCCATGTGATCCAGTAGAGATGATAGTTGTAATGGTCCTTTGCAATGGTAATGAGACGCAGTTTGCATGTCATGAACGTTTTGTTTCGACCCCAAAGAGCGTCTTGATTGGTCGCCCGTGTACATAAACCCCCATCCATGCCTTCCTGACTGAGGACCTCCTTCCTTCCCTATATTTATCATGACACTTTCTTTTCTCCATTTTCAAGCCCTCTGCTGAATTCGCTTTCTCGTCGCTTCAACTCATCGCTTCAACTTAACCTATTGGCCTTCTCATCCTTTTAGCTTTCAGAATAATCATACCCTAACAATTCCTCCCTCTTACTCCCAAATTGATGACAGACGCCGAGATTAGCAGCAGTTACGATGAGTGTACCGAAAACCTTTGGCGGTAGCATCCCACTGGGAAGCATGATAAACCTCTTTAATAGCGAGAGCGAGTCGCCTGAGCCCGATCTTTCTCGATCATCCAAGCCGTCTAGAGAACGAGGTCGACAGACCTTTAACCCATTTGTGCCCCCCCCTTCTGAGGGACGGGCAGGCTCCGACGCCTTGAAGAAAATTGGCTCCAATTCCGAAGCCACCAATCTGCAGGCATGGGTCACGAACTCGAGATGTCTAAGCATCAGAACATATCGGACGACCAAGCTACAGAGGAAGGACACTACCTACTTTGGGGTTGTGAACGCAATTGTGGAAACAGAAACTGAGAGAATGAATACCTTGACGCCGGAACGAAGCCTGGTTAATGGGTTGTTGAAGGCGGATTCTCGGATGTGTTCTCAGTCACAAGCTGGATGCGGTGGACTCCAAGACGGTTGATTGCAACCTAGAGCCTCCTAGAACCCGCGGACATTCAGAGCCTCTTAGAGCCCTTAGATAATACCACTCTCGCAAGTACCTAATAGGCATGTTGAGGGTTACTATTTTGATGCCAATATCCCATATAATCTAGTAGAGAATGTCGACGAGTGATCCGAGGTTTCCCATCCGAATCTGTGCCTTCCCAATTAAGAACCTCCTCCCTTCCCTACATTCTCACAATACATAATTTCTCCTCCGCACTCTCTACCAAATTCACTTCTTGTCACTTCCACTCTCCTTTTCTTGGTTTTCTTCTTTTAACAAATCTTCAGAATGATTCCACCCAAATAATCCTTTCCTACAGATCACAGACCAATGAGATGATAATCACCTACGATGAATAACACCAAGAACCTTCCCTAGCAGTACTAGCCCCCCGAGAAACGCAAGAAGCATTTATTGGCAGTGACAGCGAGTCACCCGAGCCCGATCCTACTGAGGTCGATAGTGACGCCGGAACTAGGTCTTATCAATCGATTTCTAGAGGCACGAATACAACCAACAACCCCCGCCTACCTCAAGGGCTGAAGCGACATATAGAGGACATGACTGGGCTCGGCGTGCTGAGCACCAACTCTACAAAGCAACCATATCGGCCAAGCAGTCCTTCCTTCTGAAGCCAGTCTATCCGCTTGCTGCCACACCTGATCTTGACAGTCAAGACGGATACACCACTCATCAACGGTGTTCATCGCCCGTACCATCTGGTTCTAGCTCCGCGACATCTGAGCAACAGGAGGCAACGGCTAAGAAGTGGCCGCAAGAATTCCAAACGAGAGTCTCAGATAGATAGACCCCGCAATTCACGCAAAAACGGATTGACTTCACCAGCACCGTTGGAGCAAATCCCCCGTCTCATCGACCGAATCCAACCCCGAAAGGAAAAATCAGGTCAGGCGAATTCCCCCAGCATCCCTAAACAGCTCAGTCACAGGTCAGACCAGGAGGAATCCCGTGGACTGGACATGCAGCAAGATCACATTCTCAATCACAGACTAGACTATGCGGAGCTTTCCAGAACGTGCAGACATTCAGAACATTACAGGATCAGCATACAGATCAAATCACTCAGACCCAGCCAGTTCCTCGGCCACAGACCCGACCCGGTGGAGCCTCCCAGACTGGATCAGGCAGATCACAATAGGGTCCTGAAGGAATACTTGCCTCTCAATCAGATGATGAGAAAGTCTCATTTCAAACTCTTGCACCGAGGCCCAGAAGCAATGATCGTGTTTCGGGAGGATGACCGATCTGCACATGTCGACATATTCTTCCGTCTTTAACAGGATTCTTCTAGACTGCGAATAACACTCTTCGATTACAAGGGCGATCCGAGACCTTAGGAGGACAAAGACGCTTGATTCTTTTACACATTACTATTCTGTTTCTTTTTGGTTTGTATTGTGTCTTTCTTTTATTCGCAACAGGGGCGTTGCATTTGGGGGACGGACTTGATTTTATCGTGGTTTGGTGGAAGGAATCAGGACCATCAGGCATCTCCGAATAGAAGGACAGAATCAGAGGATAACGTTTGGCCTGTAGGCACCTCTTCAGGATCAGAATGGCTGAATTGATACATTTTTGCTCTATATAATCACGCCCTAGCTGAGTCGCCTCCTTTCTGTAGGGGTCGTTTGGGTGTCGAAGTCGTACAAGACATGGGCGTTGGCGGCGGTGTTCATGTCGTTATCTACAGGTGTCTCGCCCTTGTGTATGTCTACAGCGATGCGGCCCATTGCATCTGTGGCGAGTCTACTCGCAAAACCTCTAGGAAGCTTATCCAACTTTGTATGCGCAACTCGTCTGTTGCAGCTTCAACTTTTGCTGACAATTGTCGATTTTTCCGGTCATCAAACAACGATTTCAAGACCTTCAAGGCGGGGAACAAGGCTTAGTAATGTGGGAAGTCGTGTTTGTAGGGCACAAAATATTGATGACATCAAGAGTTGTGACGTTCTGCCTTGATGCGGTCCATAACCATACCTGCATCTCTGACGTGCCGCGCGTGTGGATGTTGTCGCGTCCGAAGGGGTCGGCTGTCCCCGCAGCCTCCCTGATGGCTTGTACCCCTCGCAAAACCACACGTCGGTAGGCTTACAAAGCAGACCCGGATGTCATAAGATAAGCCACAGTCGAGTCTCCTTGGGTGGCTGGGCCGATGTGTTGTGGAGCTTGCATTGCAACTCGAAAAAAGAACGGAGCCTGAACGCTACTCTAGGGAGCATACGAACCGTTCTACTATCTAGTCGCGAGGCAAGAACATGTTCCATCTTATGGCTTCATGGCACTGTGACTAAGGGCTAGGCAAGGTGTAGTCCAATACCAACGGAGCATGACGACGTTGGCTGAGCCACCTCGGATTGCCCTTTCTGACAGAGCTTCTAAACGACGTCTGGACATGGCAATACGTAGGACTCGAGAGCAAATGGCAAGGGTAGCTTCCTATGCCGGCAGCTGTCGAGTTTGGCACATGTTAAACTCGGGAGGCAGTGGAATGAATCACTTGCAAGAGGGACAATGGCTGAAGAAATAAGGAGATTCTCTCAACTACAAGAGGAATTAAGTAGATTTCTTGGTACACAGCTCACAAAAGAAACTTGAATTGAGCTAAGAAACCTCCCCGTTCCATCGTTCCTCTTCTATACACAGGCTTAATGCCCCACTCTCGACGTGATTTGGTATTTTCGTCGCGAGTCGTTTAGTTCTTCTCCAGATCCGCAAGGATCTTCTCACCCTTCTCCTTGGCTGAGGCGAAGTCACCAACCATGTAGAAGGCACCCTCGGGAAGGTTGTCACCCTCACCGCTAAGAATGGCCTTGAACGAGTTGATGGTCTCCTTCAGGTCGACGAGCTTACCCTCGATACCAGTGAAAACCTGGGCGACGGTGAAGGGCTGCGACAGGAAGCGCTGGATCTTACGGGCACGCTCGACGGTGAGCTTGTCGGCCTCGGAAAGTTCGTCCATACCCAGAATGGCAATGATATCCTGGAGGGACTTGTACTCCTGGAGGATCTGCTGGACACGGGTGGCGGTGTCGTAGTGGTCCTGGCCGACAATACGGGGGTCCAGCATACGAGACTTGGAGTCAAGAGGGTCGACAGCGGGGTAGATACCCAACTCGGAGATACCACGGGACAGGACAGTGGTGGCGTCCAAGTGAGCGAAGGTGGTGGCAGGGGCAGGGTCAGTCAAATCGTCAGCAGGGACGTAGACGGCCTGGACGGAAGTAATGGAACCCTTCTTGGTGGTGGTAATACGCTCCTGCATACCACCCATGTCGATGGCGAGGGTGGGCTGGTAACCGACGGCAGAGGGGATACGACCCAGAAGGGCAGACACCTCGGAACCGGCCTGGGTGAAACGGAAAATGTTGTCAATGAAGAGCAACACTTATATGTCGTTAGCCAGATTTTATCGTAGGTCACACCGTTGTTCAAAACTCACCATCCTGTCCTTCTTCGTCACGGAAGTACTCGGCAATAGTCAGGCTGATTGTTTGTTAGCATACTGTTATGTTTGTTGAGATGGAAAACGCCATGGATTGAAACCGGACGAAGAGCGCGATGAAAGAAAAGGATTTGACGAAAGTGAAAGAGAACGGAAAGTGAAACAAAAACCAAGCGGGATAGGCCAGGACTTGCCCAACAGGAGGCATTGAAGGAAAGAGTGTAAGAGCAACTTACCCAGTCAGGGCAACACGGGCACGGGCACCTGGGGGCTCGTTCATCTGACCGAACACCAAGGCGACCTTGGACTCGCCATCAAGTTGAATGACAGAAGTCTCCTGCATCTCGTGGTACAGATCGTTACCCTCACGGGTACGCTCACCGACACCAGTGAAGACAGAGTAACCACCGTGGGCCTTGGCGATGTTGTTGATCAACTCCTGAATGAAGACGGTCTTGCCGACACCGGCACCACCGAAGAGACCAATCTTTCCACCACGGGCGTAGGGGGCGAGCAGGTCGACAACCTTGATACCGGTGACGAGAACCTCGGCGGTGGTGGACTGGTCGATGAACGCGGGGGGCTCGGTGTGAATGGGCAGTCTCTTGCTGGACTTGATAGGGCCACGCTCGTCAATGGGGTCACCAGTGACGTTCATGATACGGCCCAGAGTCTCGGGGCCGACGGGGATGGTGATGGGGGCACCAGTGTCGGTGGCAGGGCGGCCACGGACGAGACCCTCGGTACCTAGGGCGATGTGAGCACGAGCGTAGTAAAAACTTTTTCAGGCGGGAACACGAACCGTCCATGGCAATGCAGCGGACGACATTCTCACCCAAGTGTTGCTGTCGAAACGTGTTAGATGAGACAAGACTTTTGCGATTGATATTTTCGTGACCGTCCAGGTACGTACCGCGACCTCAAGGACCAGCTTCTGGTCGTTGTTCGTCGTCTCGAGGGCGTTCAGAATAGCAGGGAGCTTGGCAGTGTCGAACTTGACTGTATTCATGAGTCAGTATTGATGCTTCGGCGATGAAGTTGAAACCCCTGAAGGGTTTTTTCTCGGTTACGAACCGTCGACGACGGCACCAATGACCTGCAGGATTGTTGTTGTCAGTTACCGGCTTCACCCTCGGGCCAGCGGAAGGGATGGGCGATGCCAGCACTCACCTGGTAGATCTTTCCATCACCGACACCGGCGGTGCTGGCGAATCTGCTGGTGGCAGGGAGTCTGAAGGTAGAAGGTCTGATGGCGCGACGGGAAGCGGTCGCCGCGAAGGAAGGGCGAGCCGCCCGGGCGAAGGAGGAAATGCCGCTGCGAAAGGTTGGTTAGCTCAATTAGGGCCAATTGAACACCAGAGGGTTCAATAAGTCGATCAGGCAATTGGTACCAACCTCTTGAACATCTTGACAGATGAATAAGGGCGACTTCGGATGGGAGTGGAGAGGTGATGGTTGAAAGTTGGAGGAGGACTTGGGAGGAACAGTGAGCAGTTTTGCTCGGAATCTACGCTTCGTCGGTAAGAGCTTTGCTCCGGGGTGTCACGTGACCGGAAATCGATTGGGAAAAATTACCTCGCTACGCTAGTCTCGATTTGGTCGAGCTCCTTCCTCCGGGATACACCGGGTCCACGTCGGGTTCAATTGGAGACTGGGAGCTTTACTTAGGAAATGACTGGAAACTTTTTTCTGTTCCTTTCCCGGCCTGGCTCAAGTCCTTGCCGCTACCAATACTTGCCTAGATACACTAGTAGTACACTAATTCAGGAGATTCCACTCGACGTGGGGACTGCGGGTAAATATCGTCAATTTTGGGGCCTTGTGGCCTTTTCCAGGCTCATGAGCACTCAAGAGCTGGAGCAAGCCCCCCTTAGTGCTTGCACTGCCTACGTGTCCTGCTATATTATGCTATCTAGTTTGAGATTAACGACATGGCCGAGCTGTTACCTCTACATACACAAAGTATCCTGGAATCTTGCGTGTACAGTCCCTTCTATTTCATACATAGATAATACACCTAAATTCTGATTCAACAGTAGCTCTAGATCATTAAGCCCTGTTTACTGTATTAATATATTAAGATATAGTATAGACTAGAAGTGCTACCTCTTAGGTTAAGCATGTCATAATATTCTTAAACCAGGACTGAGTCAGACCTCTTATACGGTCTAAAGTGATAGAAACACTAAATAACTACCTAATCCTCTATGCACCTGCTAGAAAGATTGCCAGCGTGCACCTCTGTTGCACTTTATAGCTAATAATATTTCTACTTCACTTGTAATAAAACGGAAAGACTGAACACATGAAGATGTAGGCACTTAGAACAAAATAGGTTTAATAGAATATGCTCTAGAGACTGCCACAAGAGACTAACTGAGGGATGCAAGTTGAGTAGAGGCGGTCTCAATCTAGGAGACGGTATCTTGTAACCCGGGGTGTGAGTGACATCCACGGATAGACGTACCCAGGTACCTACCGACTACCTAAGCAGAGCGGCGTATATGTACTTGTCCGGAGCGAGCGACTGAGGTAAATATCCAAGGCGGTCCCTCCCAAGGTCGCATAGGTGCACAGTATACCTCTAGTATCACAGAGGAATTAACCTAGATTAAAGGGGCGACGAAAAAAAAGGTGGGATGTGGCTGGCCTCGATCATGCGTGAGGAAGAAAAGAAGCTATCGCGGATTGCCTTGAACTCGGGGATATCGGCATTTAGGCCACCCAGACTGGTTCCCTCCCCTGGAAAAAAAGATAAGAAGGAAAAACGGATGCTCTCGTTCAATCGCTCCAAGCCCGTACCAAACCAGTGTCACTTCCATACCAACTCTAAATCCATTAATGCCGCCCGATGTCAGATGCTTCGTTCCTCCATGCTTGACATCTTCCGTTGGTGTATATCATGCCTTGCTTGGTTGTATGCGTTTGTTGGGCCCAGTGACTACTTCTCACGGTGTATCTTTGCCACACTGTAGGTGTGTGCTTCCGAAATGTAAAGGAAAACGCAAGGGAAACGCAAAGCTGCTCATGTCCCGTCGTGTCAATTAGGATATCTCATCACCTATCATCTTGCACATCTCGATGTATGTGTCGACATCCATGCCTGCATTGAGCTCAGCGACGGTCACTATGAGAAATTCATTTAGGTGTTTATCTCTAATACTACAAGAAAATACTTTTATTTTCTCCTCAATGCTGTTGATTGTTCGAGCGACGCCACGGACGACCTGTCTCAAGGCCTTGAATTTGTCGTAAATGACAGACTAGCGAGACTGGCAGGACTGACCGTTTAGCTTTTCAAGGAAGTTGTTGCCATCCGAGGCATCCGAGGCCGATTTGATGTCGTTGGCGAACTCGACGCGCTTCTTCGATGTTGAAAGGGCATTAGTTTCCTCTCCAAGGCGCTTAGCGAGCGAAGTCTTAAGGACGGCAGCTGCCAGGTCGCGGTCATTAAAGATATCTGCACTGTTGAACAGCCAGCCGTCTTTCTTGAACTTCGTACCATGATGTAAAATGTATCAGGATCCTGCCCATAGCGTCGGTAACCGACTTCGCGTCAAGACCCCTGAAGATATTTGTCGTCTCGCCCTCAAAACGCATCGCCAAATACTACATTTGGAGAAAGTATAGTATGTTGGAGGAAAAAAGAGGTAAGCGAGGTACGAAGAGTTGCTGGTGCAAAAAGAAAAGCAAAAAAAGTGTGGAGGAAGAAGGTTGTATTTTATATTTGGTGAAAAGCTCTATGCTCAAGCCGTGAAGAGTGAGCCGGGCGGCTGAAACTTTTCCTACGGCAGGCGCCGATTCCAAGACAGAGAGCTATTTTTGACGAAAAGGGCTACTTGTCTGCCACTTCTTTCGCCATGTCCATTGTCTCCAGCTATCCATGAGCGCACCCTGGGCCCTCCGATATAGTGTCCAGGTATCATGATCCAGCTCGATAGGTCAACATGCAATGAGGTACTGGACGCCCCTTGCGGTAGTGCGCTCAGCTTTGTCCTCCAGCCTTCGAGTGTATGGGTGTCTGGGAATCTGGGAAATGCCAGAATACTTCAACACGCCGTTTCTACATTCAAAAAGTGATTTAATGGAGTAAGCGCCACAGACTGCCGTACCACTCTCCGGAGGCCATGCTCGTCTGAGCCGAAGAGTCTCCACCGACACGCAGTCAAAGACGACTTTTGGTTCTCTAGGCAACAACGACGCGTGGCAGTGTTAATCGGGAATATTTGGAAATTACTGAAACTCCACCTCGTTGAAGTATTTCCATTCCGACGTGGATCATCGTCATCGACACCACTACTCCCTCAAAATATAGCAGCAGATACACACCGAATGGGCCACGACAACAATACCCCCCCGAAGACGGCCCTCAAGCGCCGCTCTGGCCGGCCTCTCGGAACTGCTCAAAGGTTATGTCGGGAATGCGCGAGCTGTGTTCGACGTCCTCATCTGCCATCCTTCGCTCCAACTCCATGCGGCCATCCTTGCCCCAGTAACCGGCCTTCTCGTTGCCTTTCACACAGCCCTCAGTGATTAAGACATACGGCATCGGGGCGTCAAATATCGGTTCCGCGAGAACACGCTCCATTTCCATCTTCAGGCCACGGGCTCCGGTCTCAGCCTTGACAGCTCTTTCGGCAATGGCGTATAGTGCCTTCTTGGTAAAGTGCAGGCGGGAAGGGTAGGTTTCGAAAAGTGCAGTGTACTGTGCGACTAGAGAGTTTCGTGGCTCTGTAAGGATCCTGTAAAGATCACCCAAAGACAAAGGACTCAAAGCGCAGATGTTATGCACTCGGCCAATCAGCTCGGGAATGAAACCGAATGTCTGGAGGTCAACCGGTGTTGTTAGGTCGAGGGGGTATATGAAGATGCAAATGCATCTGTGCTAACGTGAGGCAAATGCGAAAATAGGTGGCGCGGCAAATCGTGTTGATTGCCGGAAAGGCTCTGCTTGCCTCGTAACTCGGACCCAAAGCCCATTGAGGGTTTCGACACTCTCCGCACGACAACTTTGTCAAGACCAACGAAGGCGCCGCAGAAGACAAATAAAATGTTTGTAGTATCTATGGTGTATTGGTCGACCTTCGCCTGCGGCGGAGTGGACTGAGGGGCCGACGTTGAGCTCGAGGACGTGTAGTTGGTGGTGATGGGTGGTGTTGACCGCGAAGATCGATTGTCCTTGACATTAATGGTCACTTTGGAGCCCTCGACGAGCTTGAGTAAAGCTTGTTGGACACCTTCTCCGCCAACATCCCGGCCGTTCATGCTCTCCCTCTTGGCCAGCTTATCGAATTCATCCAAAACGATGATGCCATGTTCAGTCGCTTTGATGTCGTAGTTCGATTCAATCAGCAATCTCTCTACACATGTCTCCACATCCTGACCGATGTAGCCGGCTTGTGTAAAGGAGTTGCAGTCGGATATCGTGAACGGCACGTTGAGCTTCTTACTCAAAGTCCTGGGAAATGTTAGACCTGTTGGTCTAGGCTGCCTCTACAGAAGCAACTCACTCAAGAATATACGTCTTTCCGACACCAGTAGGACCGATGAGGAGCAAGTTGCTCTTGTCAATCTTGACCTGCGGGGGAGTCGGGGGTTCTTCGGATAGGTAAGACCCATCGGACCCGTTGGAAGAGCCATAGCCCTCTCCTAAGTGCTGTGTAGCTTCAGCGTGACCAGGGAACTCGTCTGGGGGCCATTCATCATCAGCTGGGAAGCGCTGGAAGGCAGAGTAACGATCGCGCTGACCTTGAACAGGATGGGTATCACGCTTCTCAAGGATGTCCCTGTCCCGTGCATACCGCTGTCGCTCTGCCTTTTCCCTCTGCACCCTCTCTTCATGTTCCTGATGTCTCCTCCTCCGCAAGCCCTGATAGTGGTTAAATATTGTGGAGCATATCGTCTTCTTTGCTCGGTCTTGCCCAACAACGTAATCGTCAACCCGCTTCTTCAGGTCTCGGGGGTAGAACTGAGGAACCCCAAAACTATTCTTTTTGAACATGGGGCCTCGGCCATGTTCGGAATTCGGATCGTAGCTGCTTGTGAAGCCAGAGTTGAAACCTCGTGTTTGTGTCGTTGCGGTTCGGGCGACCGAGGAAGCGGAGAAGGTGCGCCTGGTGCTCGCGAGCACCAAGCAGCGGGCACAGGTGTAGGCTTGGGGCCTAGAGGATAAAGCCATGGTGAAGCGCGCCCGGCGAAGGGACCATATCATGAGACGGTATCGGCTGGAGATCGCCAACAGATAGCATCTGCCGTCTGTGTAAGGATTGAGGAAGTAACGGTGATGGTGATGAGGATGACGATGGGTAGATAGTTCGGTGACCGGAGGGGATATCGTGAGTGCGCGGCTGCAGGTACCTTAGTAGATAAAGGTAGACCGGATAAGGAACCATGGCCAGAGCTCGTGGACGGGTGCGGGGTTGAGGAGCTGTAGCTCCAGCACAGCAGCGCTTAGGAGCGGCTAAGATTGGGGAAAGTTACAGCTGTGTGCTCACCCCCCAAACATGCTCCCAAAGTCAATCCGAATGCACGGAAGCTTGTACGATCATGCAATATAACTATACCTGCACGATACTATATTTGAATCGTATGGTCAAATAGGCAGCCTGCCAGTTGATTCATGAAGAGTGCTACGTCCATCAGTTCATAGGTTGTGGACTTTCACCAACTTTGCACATGGGATTACCCTATCTAGGCGTTGAGACCACTGGTAATAGGTAAGAGAGTAACCATGGACATCCCCGACTCGAGGCGCTAGTGCAACTGACACACAATGGGACAAAGAGTGTTGCCAACTACTGGTTTCTGTCAAATAAATGCAACGGCTTCGCGGTTGAACTGCGGTTCGGCCTGCAGAATCCACAGTCTGTGAATTGGTCCATCATATGGTTGACGGCCAATGGTATCGAGGTAGGAACTCGTGCCTAACCCACCCCCATAGTTCATGATAGGGGCAAGCTCCACCACTGTGCGTTAGGCCAGGCATGCAATTCTCAGAAGGCCCACGACGTATCTGTGATGGCATTTGGCCACGATAACGACATGTCGGTCCCACTACGCTGATACTGGTTGATCAAAGCCATCGTCTACCCTGCTCGCCAACCCCCCTTGACTGGTTCACCGATGGTACGACATCGCATTTGGTGTCCTCTTACCTCGACTCAAAGGAGTATGGTGGAAAGCAGGCAAACCTGTAAGCGGCAGTCTATTATCAAGTAAAACCAAGGGGCCGACGCGGAGTTAGCAGCTGAAAAAGCCTCAACCTTCAGCGTACCATTTGCCTTGGACCATCTGGGATGGACAGTCATCCCGCCTGAGATGTGTTCTGATTCGGCCGATGCATTTGTTGTTGAGACGCCAGAGGGGTTGGAGTGGCGGCCGCGTTTTTTTCTCTCCCCGTCGTTCCTACCCTGTCTGCCTTAGCGCCCTGGCGCTTCCGATGCTGCAGCAATTCTCGTTAAATTGACCATAGCAGACCAACAACAGAGGGTGCTGGGGCTACCTAGACTGGACCTAGACTGGACCTAGACTGGACCTAGACGGGACCTAGACGGGACCTAGACTGCTGAAATACTGCAGCGGGCTTGCTGTGAGGGGAGACGCGACCCGTGAGCTGCGTTGCCCCACGACGTCATACCATGCAATGCGCCGAAGATTGCACTTTCTCCCGCCCACCTTTCGTGTCCCCATGAGTTGGATACAAGTTTACAAGCTCATCCTAGACAGTGCGGGGAGAATTTATCAGGCCAATGTACATAAAGTATCTACATCCAAGGCGTTGCTTCCTGTAGCATCATTGTTTCCAAACTTATTCCTCCTTCCCACGTCAATATCATCATCTTTACTGCTGTCTTCACGACAATCCAACGCCTGATCGAGATTTCCCGGGTTCTTTTAACCCTTAAAGAGATTGCTACCAATCTGCGCATTCCTTGCCTAGCTCCATACCCCTACCGACCTACGTTAGGAAAGGCGTGGACTCCCATTTAGTTCAGGTACTTAGCTCTGCCGTCACATAGCTCTTCCACCTTACCTTACCTACCTCTTTACCTTGCCTCAACATTTTGCACAGGCAGCTTCAATTGCTTGCAACCCGCCCCATTCCCTGCGTTCACCCTGCCTCCCCTTACCTTAGGTACCTTGCAATCTTGGACGACACCTGACGTGCTGTGTCTTGCCCTACTTCAGGCCGAATCCAATCTGAACTATTGCGGTTCTGCCCCGCACTCTCAACTTCAACTGCAATTCTAAACACCAGTCTTCATCCTCCAACATGGCTGCTGTCGAGAAGTCTTCCAACTCAATCGCCTTAAATGGCTCTAGTGGTGCTGCTGACGGCTTTCCTACTGATGGCACTGGTAACACCTCCCCTCCCTTCTTTGCAGGATCATTGGCTGATTTCCGCCAGGCGTGGTAAAGCTTGACCCATGGCTGTCACCATTTCAGGATTCCCTCAAGAGGCGCTATGCCCGTGCTCAGGATTGGATCCAGAAGATCAATGAGACTGAGGGTGGCCTAGATAAGTTCTCCAAGGTAAGAGGAAGATGAAGCATAGTGATGTTTTCCTGGAGCGTCAAGCTAACCCGACCTTGACAGGGCACCTCGCTTTTCGGTTTCAACGTCGACGAGGACAACAACATCGTGTACAGGGAATGGGCCCCCAACGCTACACAGGCCTTCTTGATCGGCGACTTCAGTGAGTCTCTCTCTCTCTCTGATGCGGCGTCATGATTTTCTACTAACCGGAACACAACAGACAACTGGGACAGACACTCCCATGAGATGAAGAAGAACAACTTTGGAGTCTTCGAGATTGCCCTCCCCGCCGCTAATGGCCAGGCTGCGATCCCGCACAACTCCAAGGTCAAGGTAAGTTCGAGCCCAAGATACACCTGCCGCGTTTGAAGTTAACTCCCATCAGATCTCCTTGCAACTCCCCAACGGCGAACGCGTCGACCGCCTGCCCGCGTGGATCAAGTATGTGACACAAGACTTGTCTATCTCCCCCGCGTACGAAGCCCGATTCTGGAACCCGCCGGCGTCCGAGAAATACCAGTTCAAGCATCCGAGACCACGGAAGCCTCGAAGCGCTCGCGTGTACGAGGCTCATGTGGGAATCTCCTCGCCCGAGCTACGGGTTGCGACTTACAAGGAGTTTACGAAGAACATGTTACCGAGAATCAAAGATCTCGGTTACAACGTTATACAGCTCATGGCTGTTATGGAACATGCCTACTATGCCAGCTTCGGCTACCAAATCAACAACTTCTTTGCTGCCAGCAGTCGCTATGGTCCTCCCGAGGACCTCAAGGAGCTGGTTGACACCGCCCACAGCATGGGTATCACCGTGCTTCTGGATGTTGTTCACAGTCACGCCTCCAAGAACGTCCTGGATGGTCTGAATGAGTTCGATGGTACGGACCACCAGTATTTCCACGAGGGGGCTCGCGGTCGTCATGAGCTGTGGGACAGCAGACTTTTCAACTACGGTCATCATGAAGTAATGAGATTTTTGCTCAGTAATCTGCGGTTCTGGATGGACGAGTACCACTTCGATGGCTTCCGTTTTGATGGTGTCACAAGCATGTTGTATCTACATCATGGTATTGGAACGTAAGTCGAGCCGCCCGCCCCTTAAATTGATGCATGGAGGCGTTGCGTGCTAACCAAAACAGCGGCTTTTCTGGAGGCTACCACGAGTACTTCGGCTCTGACGCTGACGAAGAAGCCATTGCGTACCTCATGATCGCCAACGAGTTGCTCCACTCGCTGTACCCAGAGGCTATCACTATTGCTGAGGATGTGTCTGGCATGCCGGCTCTCTGTCTGCCGCTCTCACTAGGTGGTCTTGGCTTCGATTACCGTCTTGCCATGGCCGTTCCAGATATGTGGATTAAAATCCTCAAGGAGAAGAAAGACGAAGAATGGGATATCGGCAATATCTGCTTCACACTGACAAACCGAAGACATGGGGAGAAGACTATCGCATATGCGGAAAGTCACGACCAGGCGTAGGTTTTCTCTTCCAAGGTGACCAGCTCCAGCTAACGAAAATTTAGACTTGTGGGTGACAAGACCCTCATGTTTCATCTCTGTGATGCTGAGATGTACACCAACATGTCGACTTTGACTCCATTGACGCCGGTCATTGACCGAGGCATGGCCCTTCACAAGATGATTCGCCTCCTGACACATGGTCTCGGCGGTGAAGGGTACCTCAATTTCGAGGGTAATGAGTTTGGTCATCCGGAATGGCTCGACTTTCCCCGCGAGGGCAACCAGAACTCGTTCTGGTACGCGCGTCGTCAGCTTAACCTTACTGATGATGACCTGCTTCGCTACAAATTCCTCAACAACTTCGATCGGGCGATGAATACCACGGAAGCTAAGTTTGGCTGGTTGGCGGCGCCGCAAGCATACATCTCGCTCAAGAACGAGAGTGACAAGGTCATTGTCTTTGAGAGGGCCGGCGTTGTCTTCATCTTTAATTTCCACCCTACCGAAAGCTTTGCCGATTACAGAATTGGCATTGAGGTGCCTGGAACGTACAAGGTACTCCTCAACACCGACTCCAAGGACTTTGGAGGCCACGCCCGTGTCGATGAAGGTACCCGTTTTTCCACTACTCCTATGGAGTGGAACAACCGAAAGAACTGGACTCATGTTTATATTCCAAGCCGCTCTGCACTGGTAATACCCCTCTCTCTTCGATCAGTATACTATTTGAAGCTAACGGCGTACAGGTCCTCGGCTTGGAGTCTCCCGTGTCTCAGCACTCTTAGCTGTGATAGATCGGAGAGATTGTACGGATGCGAGATGATGGAGACTCACGGGTGAAAGGGAAGACGAGAAATTTACTTAGCAAGCTAATCCAAAATGGTGCAATGAATTGTGCGGAAGCACGTCTTTTTAGAACCAAACCCAATAGATCTGTTACTTGTCCAGGCAAACGTAGCTGCGTAGCTCAAATACCACTAAATCCGTCCCTTATGATGCGGCTACATATTTTGGGAGTACAGAATCAACACTGTTGTGACCGGGCAGAGCAGGAATGGAGACAAGAGGCATACGAACCATGGAGATCATACGTTTCACATGCCGCGTATACACAGATGTGCCGAGGATATCAAAAACGGATATGAAGAAACAAATGGAAAGGTGCTTGGAATTCAGATCTTTTGGTACAATATTTACACCAAGCAGATGGTTGTCCTCGAGTCACGTCGCAAGCCCCCCAGCCCATGCCAGCTCTACTACTAGTTTTATACACGGGCAAACTGCCATGGTCGAATTGTGATTGTGATTCTAAGAGACGATAGGGAAGGAGGATATCGATTAATTGGTCTTGGGAGGAGACTGGACCATGCCCTTGCCGGAGTAGCCCTCGGAGGAGATACCGGTGATGGGATCGGAATTTTGGTTCTGAAGGGAGAATAATTAGCCATTGGCCCGGACGGACATGCCCAAAGCGTCCGGAACGCCGGTGACATACCTTAAGGTACTCGTTAGAAGCCTCCTGGTATTCCTTGGTCATGGTGTCGGGGGGAGCGCCGGCGAAGGCACGGATGGAGGCGAAGATGGCCAAGCTGGCAGCGACGGAAGCGGCGACACCCCAGAAGACACGGGTGCCCTCACCGGTGGGGGTGCCAGCGCGGGGACCGTGGGGACCGAAGGCGATCCAGTAGGCTATTGAGTCAATTTGCGTTAGTTTCATCCGCGTCTCTTTTTGTGTAGCTTTTTGTGATGTGACGCAATGCATATGCACCAGGGATGAGTTTGGGTGGTTGTCAACTGGCGTTGCAATCTGGCTGGTTGGGTTCCGGAGCATTGGGAAGCTTGGATATATAGACCTGAACCTCGCCCTCCCAGCTGCAGCGATGGCTCAATTAACGGGAGAGAAGAAAGAAAGAGGCATTGGTGCATGTCATATAGCTTTTTCAATGCCTCTTATCCCCTCCAGTCCATCCCCATCTACCAATTCCCTTGCGGAGAATCGGAACACCTGTCTTTCGAATGAACGGAAAATCAATTACGCACCAGCCTTCTTCTCCTGAAGAGTAAGCTCCGACCAGGGGCCCTTCATGCGGTCCCTCAGCGCCATCCAGAGCTCGGCCTGCTCCTGAAGGGGCATGCCCTCCCATCTCTTTTCGATGTTTGCGAGCGTCGGGTTGGAGATGGCGTGGGTGGTGGCGGCGCGGCGGATGACGGAGGTCTGCTGGGCGGCGCGCAGGCCGGTGCGGGCCAGAGAAACGGTCGGGGTTCGCAACATTGTGTTTTCGGTTGTGGTTTTGTCTAACAAAATCGAAAATCGCTATGGGAACGGTTCGAGAGAGCGGAGAGGGTCTCAATTGCGGTGACGTCGAGGGTGGTTCGTTCGAGATGGGCCGTCGGAAGGGAAGAGAGGGTTTTTTTTGGCTACCTAGAAGTTCCGAGCAGTCGTCTGATTGGAATTTCGATTGCAATACGACAGCTGCGACTGGGTGTCTGGAAAGTCACGTGATGACACTGTGGCCTGTGCGCTGTTCATCCATCCAATTGGAATCATCTAGGGGGTACTTCACCTTGATATTCCTTGGGCCTTGCGACACCGAAAGGTAGCTGAGAACTCTCTCATGTGGTAGCACGGCGCGCTCGCTCGGCTGTTGCAATGCCCATCCCGAATACTGCCGCTTGCCCGGGATTTTGACTACCATTAAGGCTACTCCTAGTTATTGATACGCCAATGCTATTAGTGATTTATTTTAACCGTTTTTCACCAGCTTTGTAGTGATTCAGAATCATAGGTAGTGTTGCTTTGAAGCCTGGAAAACACAGCACTTGTGCTTCCGGAAAACCCACGGCAACCTTGACATCACGGTGCATTTCGGCTAATGGGACGTCACCAGCTAAGTGCATATGCAAACCTTGCCTGACTCTTTCAGCATTCTTAATCGCCCAACTCGCGGGACTCGCCTTATGTTACATATTTACATCGATCTTTATATGAATTCTGACTTGACTTCTATCTGGCAATTAATCTGATGTATGCCTTCAATCTGGCGTGACTTCCAGTTTGACTGCCGCATTTTCAACATAACCCCAAGTCGCCCGGGGAATAACGCCTTGCTATGATCAGTTCAGGAAGCTCCATCTCGTGTTGCATTTGTATTTGCTTTTGGGCAGTTATCGCAGTCCTATTGCCTTGCCCCAATTGAAGATGCTTAGCCCTGGCTTTTCTTATGTCTTCTGTGCACTCTTTTGCACCTCAGGTTTTCCGCGAAGAGCTATCTGCATCAGCGCCAGATCTGGGTGTCATTATGTTCGGGATTTGTAAGTCCGGGCTGTTCGGTTCACCGGAAGGAAGGGTTCTCGGTAGCTGCTCTTTCGATTCGCGAAGTCTCTTTTGCTCTTCAAGAGCAGGCTTCAAGGTGTGAGTGGCTAGGTATGTCAGTTATACCGGCATCATGAAGGGTAACTCGTTCTTGGGTTACAGGACTGGGATGTTGCATACAGATGCCGACACCAGCCACAACAGCTACAACAATTGGCAGGAAGTTTCGCAAGCTCATCTTGGAGGGGTTGATGAAGTGGGGCAAATTGCAGTTTGATGATACAGACAGGACAGCCTTGCCAGTTTGCAGACTACAATAAGCGGTTAATGGTGTAGAAGGCGATCGAAGTTGGATTAGTTGAGCGGCGCATTGCGACCGAGCAAGGTAGAGCTCTCGGCCTGTCTCCAAAAAATCCGGGCCCGGGCTGGGCATCTGACCGACGTAAAGTGGTTCGCCGACCGCGACGGGCGCGTGCCCCACCAAACGCGCTCAGCAACCGCCCGAACGCGTCTGCATCGAACGCTGTCCCAGTCAGGGTTAGGTAATGCACTGCGCTTTGCCAACGAGCCAAATCTCCTGGCCACCAACCTCCCAAATGCCTTACGCTCGGTTATGTTTTACGATGTTTAACTGTTTATGATGAACGGTACATGTCATGGCGAACTGGAAAGAACTGGGCGAGGTCCCAGATTCGGACGACGAGCTCGACTTCGATAGCCAGGATTTGGAGTCGCTGCCGGATCCCGAACTTCCCTCGAATACCCCCGTCGAACCCCCGCAGACGAAGAACACTCGACAAAGCACATGGGACGTTCCCGAGTCGTCGCAAGGATCGCCCGCCGTCGCGTCTTTAAAGCATGGGACGACAACCCTGGATCATGAGGTGCAAAGGCCCTCCGAGCAGGAACCGCCCTCCTCGCCATTGTCTTCGGTACCCGATATAGACGAGATGGACGACCCTTTCAACTTGGACGAACCGGAAGTCCAAGCAACTCCTCCTGTTAGGACGAGGCAGTCACACTTTCCTCATGGCCGCGACGACTCTCCCGATCCTTTAGCTGGCGACGACAGTATATCGACGAGCTATGTGAAGATCACAGCTCCCCAGCCCGAATTCCCGGCCGAGAACGGCACCACAGATCTTTATCCCCCGCCCAGGTCTCCAGCCGTCTCTCTATTGACGAGTCAATCAAAAGGCCAGCCAAGCCAGCAAAAAGCACCAGTCATAGAGCCTGGCGCAAGCCCTGGCCAGGACGAAGATGCCGCAGACCCAGTCTCGCAGCACGCGTCAGGTGGCACCTCCCCAGCAAGACGCCCGGCTAAGGCTCGGGCTGTGTTCTCTGTGGATATCCCAGTGCAGAACCGGGCGAGGAGTCAGCAGCAGTCGCCCACTCAGCGGGAGATACCCACAAGTCGAGATGGAGAGGTTGCCAGACCCGTTGCAGTGCGATATGAACGCTCATTCAGACCGAGAAAACCCATTCAGGAACACCCATACCTTATCGAGAACGCCCAATACAGCAAAGTCCTAAAGTCACACGGCATTCGGCCAGTCAGAATGCCTACAGAGCCCCCCCCTAGACGACAGAGAGCCGATGAAGATTCTGGCGAGAAGGACTTCGAAGACGATAGCCAAGAGACGACGGCTGGTGTGCCAAACGAAACCACAGATGAAAGTCAAGTCAACGGGATGGATGAACCGCCGAGCTCTGAGATCTTGCGCCTATCATCGCGGTCCCCGTCACCGTCGCCGTTACGAACCTCGTCCCCAAAGCACCGCACCAGGCCCAGCAGCCAGCCTAGTCAGGGTGACACCGACAACACAAGCCTCTCCGATAATGACGACCTCCCTTCACTTGATGAGATTCACCGCAATTTATTGTCAAACCGGTCTGCGAAGAAACGAAAGCTTGTAAGACGGGCCACATCTAAGACAAAAGTGGTCAAGCAGACGACTCCAAATACTCGCATACCCTCCAAGCCAACGTTTCAGCAGTATGATGAGATATATGGCACATTTTCTTCTCCGTCTTCGTCACCACAGGTTCCTAACGCCTCTGTCAATCCGTCAATGGAGCCGGTAGCGTCGCCTGCTGTACCCGATATTCCAGACCCATTTGCTGAGGACGACGGGCAGCCTATTGATAGCAACATGATGCTCCCGGCGGTGTCTGAGAGACACAGTTTCATGTGCGCGGACCCCCCCGTATTCGATCTGACCATGGAGGATATCTCCGATACTGGAGAGGATGATTCTGGGCACCGAGATGTGGAGATATCAGGAGGTGAATCGGAGGCCGGCAGCGACAGTGGCTCGGAGACTGGCGCAGAGGTTGTCAAGAATGTTGGAAGAAGAATGCGAGGAGTTCTTCCAGCATCCTGGCTCAGACTTGATCAACAAGCAAACCGACCCAAGCCCACCCAGCATCAACGACACGAAGTATCACCCGAGAAGGCAGGGAGACGTGGTGTAGCGGTTCGGCGAATCGGTCGTTCGGCATCGAGCGCAGCGGCTGCTTTCATCTTCGAGGACTCGGATGATGAGATTACACCGGCACCAACGCCCACACGCGCAGCACATGATGTTCAAACCATTTCACCTTTCGAAAACCCAGTAATGGAGGTTATAGATGACAATGACACTGGCTCTGTTATCGAGGACGATCAAGTCGACCCCATGCTTCCAAGTAATAAACGTCAGTTGAGTATGAAAGATTTCCAGCAACCCGCCAAGCGCCAGAAACAAAATGATTCAACCATGGGCAACCAGCGCAAGAAACTGGGAAGGCCTTCAAAAGCTATAAACCGGTCTTCCAAAGCCTCGCGCCTCGATCTTTGGGTGAAAAGCCATAAATCGACAGTGGGCAAATCTAGGTCTGCTGCCAGAGCGAAGACACCTCCGAGATTAAGCATTTTGGACGTCATTGAACCAGACGCGCCGAAGTTCCTGAAGATAGCAGCCCGGACGGCTCAAAACAGGTGTCACCTGGGAAGATCCAGCCCCTCAAACAAGACAATACGTCTTGCCACCCGAAAGGACAATGTCGATGCCGGTACAGTGCTGCAAAAGTGGAAAGGGGGGAAGATTCGGCCCCGTCAGGGGCTGCAGGGCAAAAAGCAGACCACATCAACCGGGAGGCGCCCACTTACCCAGTTACCTTCCAACGTTTCTGCTCGCGGCGTGGTGTCATCGCCCAAGGTCGACACTGCCGCACAATCTGGCCGAAATCGGTGTGAGGGCTCAACACTTTCGACCCCCTTATCTGAAGTGCGAGCTCGCGCACGAAACATGTCCAGGAGCCATTCCACTACAAGTCAACATGCTCGAGAGGCCACAAACAGGCCGGCGCACCTCGAAACGGATTTAACTGAGCAGACAGGGCGAATCGGATTCCATGCAAAGAAACGGGCCCTTGACGCTCTCTTCCGGCGCAGCCAAACGCAGTCTTTTTCCTCACGGAGCGCGCATCTGGATTCGTTTCTGGATGACGTATCTTCAGTTGTTTCGGGGCATAGCTTCGCTACCAGAGCCTCCCCCGAACCACCAATCACCCAGAAGTCCCGTCTCAAGCGTCTCAGAAAGCCCGCCCAGCCGATACAGATCGATGTTGCTGCTGCTCACTTCCAACATGCCAATGACCCGCTGCCGACCACGGAGCTGTTGACTCCAGCAGAGACGCTCAAGTCCACGTTCAACGACAACAAACTCCTTGGACTTGGTCCGTTTGGCACACACTATACACAGCACTTCGAAATATTTCCTCTGGACCGTGGGGTATTTTTTCACGAGACAACACTCATCGGCAGCGGTCGGCTCAAGTCAGCTGTGGACGACCAATTTCCAGACAAAGTCTGGCACCCTCGTCCCCGGATATCATTTAACCTGGGCGAGCTGGTTCTTCGTTGGGATACTTGGAATGAGCATGTATCTTCTGAACTTGGCATTCTGATGGACGGAATACTCGATCAAGTCATCAAGCCGGCAATATCAACGGGAGTTGGCTTCAACGCCAAAGAGGCTGCGCGCTTCGTCCTCGATTACGTACAGAAAGCTATGAGCTTCGCCAACGATTCCGATGCGAGGTCCTTTGTCACTCGTCTCTCTGATGTAACTCAAGCTTTCCTATCACGCCTGGATTCGGAGCATGGCCTCGATCCGCATAGACGTATAGAGCTTGTTGACATCTTGTCAAACTTGGTCCTGATTCTCTCGTCTGCAGTGCGGCTATGCCAGAAGACACACTCTTTGGTAACAGAGTGCTTCACCACGGAGGCTGTCTTCAGAAAAGCTGCTGAGGTGCTGGTTCAACTTCTGCTCAATATTGGACTGGACGACGTGAATCGTCTATACGACGACCTTCAGATATTGAGATACCGCGAGCGTGGTATCCGTTCGGATAGAATTGTACCACATGCCTGGGTACTCCTGATGAAAACTCTAGAAAATTTCCAGATACCAAGGATGGCTTTCTGGGACGTTACGTATTCGCGCATGCTTCAGTCTAGCGTCACCCGTGGAGTGGATGCAGAGGAGTTCGAACGGCTTTGGAAGGACATGTTTACGCTCTTGCCATTGTGCGAGTTCAATGATACGGGTGTGCTCATAAGCGATAGGAGACATCAGGTTCCCATGGAAGGCTGGAACCTGCCCCAGCAAATCCTGAAACGTGTCTTCCAGCTATACAGAGACAATCCTCGTCAGTCTCCCAGTTTCAACGAATACTGTCGGGCGCTTGTATCCAGATGTCACTACCTGGTTGACCAGTGGGGATGGCAGAAGTGCAGCGGCATTATCGGCACCATCTTTGACTTTTTCGGTTCCCAGAATCTCTCCCACCTGCGCAACGAAGAAGCATTCCGCTCGGCACGTTTTCTGGACAGCCTTCACCTAAACCCAACACTCACGGTTGAGCCTGAAGATCGATGCTTCCACATCTTCCTCAAGCTTGTGGCACTGACCATAAAAAGGTTGAAACAGAAGGGGCTAGTCAACGACATCCGGAACCTGGTCGCTCGTACGCTCCCGAATCATGACCGGCAATACTCCAGGGAGCAGAATGTTCACCAGCATGACTTGGCCGCACTCAGGAACCATCACGATCTCCTATGTACACTGTTCTGGGCAGCGCCACCTGACCTTCGTCCCGGCATACACAACCTGGAGAAGCTGGTTATCCCTGCCAGTTCGCACAAGGAGGCTTGCCTGATCAATTTGCGAGCGTGGAGTCAACTCGCACGGTTTGTCGTGCACGAGGAGCCTGCGGCAGCGTTCACACCGCTGGCGAGCTGGCAGACTAATGTATTCAGGCAGCTTCTCGATCAGTACAATTCTGCCGCAGCAGATATTCAACAGCAGTTCCTGGACTTATCCAAAGATGCTAGCAACAACGTT